AAAATACTATTTAACCACACAAAGTCAAATCAACACTTTATTTCAAATTAATTTCGTACCAAAACAAACCCTAAAAACTCACAACTAAATACAGCTATAAACATTTCAATCTTATTATTATTATTATTATTATTATTATTATTTTGACAAATAAAAAAAAAAATTTGTTAGAAGAATTTTATTTTTTTTTTAGAAAAAGTTAATTAAAGAAATAATGGTCCCCATTCTAGTGTGTATAGCCCTAACATGCATCTGAATGCATTGACCAAACCACAATAATCCAACCCTATCTTCCACCATTATTTTATTTCTATACTTCCGTTCCGTACACCTTATATATATTTTTTTTAAAAAATTATTACATATATATTATTTGCTTGTATAGTCTTTTTTTTTTTTTTTTTTTTTTTTTATGACGTGGAAATTCGCAGCTGCTATTCGAAAGTGCGCATTGAGTAAATCTCCGGTCGAATTTAATACTCTGCAAATCAGATCCGACGAGAAAGTCACGCTAGGGTGACCATGTATAGTCTGCTTTTGGTGGGATGATAATGGCTGTAATAGGGTAAGATTTGAGATTAAATTTAACATAAAATATGATTATAAGTTTGGACATAAGTTTTTAATAACATATGTTTTTTTTATTATTATTTTAATTTTTTATGGTAAAAAATATAAAAAGTGATATAATTTTTTAGTGAATAATAAAATTAGAACATCTATATAAAAAATACTCCATCCGTCCCACATAATTTGTCCCTATTTTCTATTTTCGTCCGTCTCATATAATTTGTTCTTTCTTTTTTTTAGAAAATTAATTATACACTTTAATCATATTTTAAAATTTAATTTTTTTAATCTTAATTAAACTATTTAGTTACGTTAATCTTAATCTATAATTATTTTTACTAAATAATAATTATTTTTACTAATATATTTCTTAATATATTTTTTAATTACTTACTAATTATACTTTACCTAAATTCTCGTGTCTACAGTAATACACCCATATTACATGGACAGAGAGTAATGAATAAAAAAAAACGTAAGCATATCTTTAATAGACATAGAGTACAACATTTGAGTTAAACTTAACCTGTAAGGCTGTAATTGGAATATTGAACATGACTCGTTAATTATTATATAGTACTACTAAATTATAAATCTATACTGAATTTCTAGCAATAATAATTATTACAATAATAAAATTTAGAATTTGAATGAAAAATAAATAAATAATATCTGAGTTTTAATTTATAAAATTAATGTTATTTTTATATTAACATCTAATTGTAACTACATGTGTATATATAAAATTAGTTTTTTTGCTGTCGGATTGTGAAGGCACAAGTCTCTGTTAGGGAAACAGGCAACGAGTGCAGACTGCATCTGATGTTTTTTATTTTATTTTTATTTAGAGTGTATATTTGATGATTTTTTTTTTTTTTTTTTTTTTTTTTTAAGGATAAACTGTTTTTTTTTAAGTCTCGTAACTGAATCCCCTTGTCGTTTTAGTCTCGTAAGTGGAACATATCGTAAACTAGTCTCATGAGTGAAAAATTTTATTTGTTTTAACCCTCCGACACCGGAGACACCCACGAGGCTCGCTGAAGGCTACGTGTCCGCCAGGTGCGCTAACCTGACGGACACGTGGATTTTATTTTATTTTTTTCATTTTTTAAAAATTTTTTAAAATTGATTTTAAATTTTATTTGTCTTTTTTTAATTTTTTTATTTGGTTCGATTGAAAAAAAAAATTAAAAAAATAAAAAATAAATAAAATCCACGTGTCCGCCTAGTGTCGCTGACCTGACGGCCACGTGGCTTCCGGCGAACCACGTGGGCGTCTCCAGCACCAGAGGACTAAAACAAAAAAAGTTTTCACTTGTGAAACTTATTTGCGACAGCTCGAGACTAAAATGATAAGGGTTCAGTTATAAAATGATAAGGGTTCAGTTAGGGCATTAAAATATAATTTACCCTTTTTTATTATATATATATATAATAAATATATATGAATTATATTTTTGGGAGTTATTAGTATTAATTAATTAATTAATTGAGGCACGCAACACATCACACATGCATGCATCATAAACCCTCCATTCAGATCCATCTAATTACTCTCTAATTAAGTCAACTAATTACCGAGAATTTATATAAGCGCTTTTAGTTTATTAAATAATTTTTAGTTATTTGATCGATCAAACAATTCATTTTAATAGTTGGTAATTAGTTTTTTAAAGAAATTTTTCAGGGTGTATTTATTTTGTAAAATAATTGGAACGGATAGTTTTTTATATGAGTTCTAAAGAATTATGTAGGTAATATAAAAATGATGAACATGCATAATATATTATTTAATTTTTTTTTGAAAAAAAAATGTAAAACAAAAAAAAACTAAAAGAACATATTGCCAACAATGTTTTAATTTTAATTTTTTATTTTTTCTTTGTCCTTAAAAACTAGTCATCTCTTTTACATACATACTAATATATTTTTTTGTATTATTTAGTAATTATTTTAAAATATTTCTATTTTAACTAAGTTATTATTTTAATTTTATAAATATAGAATAATTAAAATTATAATTTTTCTACATGTGTTTTATCTTATTTGTAAAACATATTAATTTATTAAAATTAAAGTAAAAAAAATATATATATATTATTAATATATATTTATTATATTAAAAATAAATAAAATATAATAAATTTATTAAAAATTATAAGTATAGTAAAATAATAAATTAATCCATATTGATATATTTTCAGTAAAAATTACTCTCTCCATCTCAGGTATCATGTTCACTTTACAGTAGACACGAGAATTTAGAAGAGATATAATTAGTAAATAATTATCGTATTTACTAATTATAATTATAAAAATAATTTATTATTTTTAATTTTTCAGAATAATTCATGTTAATTAAAAAGTATGAATTAATCTCCCACCTGGTGCATCTCATCCCATCTCATTTTGCATAATTTTTTTGCCAACGACTATTGAAAATTAGTTATATTTTTATATATTTTGTTAGCAAACTATATGCTTCTGTTTTGGTAAAAATAATAAATTAAATATTTTTTTTTTTTTCATTTTTGCAGAAATAATAAACTAAAAATCACTAACATGAAAGTTGTATTCAAGGGCATAATTATAATGTTTTTAACTCTAAAAATTATAAAATATTATAGAGTTGAAGTTATATATTTGTGTAGCTTTATAATTGAATCCGGAGTAAATAATGAGAACATCAAATCTAGTAATAAAATTTTTTATTATTGTGTCTATATATAGGCTTATTTCGTGTTTTTTTCTAACAATGTTTATGCTCTCGCCTCGTTAATAGTCAAAGGTATATAGAAAAATTATAAGATTATTCTTGTGTATCATTGATCTTACGATATCAAAGTAATGAAATCTAATGGTTATTGTTTAATCAACATTTATTTTCATTTTTATTCATACTGCATTTTAAAAACTTCGATATGAGTTTTTGTTTCCAAAAAATTGGAGTAACATTTCATCTCTTTTCCTGATACAGACGAACGAGAGCAATACTGATTGTTTTATTTTTTGACGAAAAAACACATATTTTTTCAAAAAAAATTATTATATTACATATATTCATTATTTTTATATTATCTACACAATTATCTATACATCATATAAAAAAGAAAAATCAAACTATTTAACAAATTAAACACTCCATAAATTGTTCAACACTTCTGTTTTTCAATTTTTATTTTTCATTATAACCACCTCATTTTCCGAAAGTGAGCTATATACATGCAAGAATTTTTATTAGTATATATAGGGAAGCCATGTTATGGCAAATGAAATTTATATATTGAATAATATTTTAAATAAAAAATAGTTTTTCGTTCTAATTCAAAGTACTCTTTTATCATTTTCGTCAGTCTCACTTTAAAGTATCACTTTTCTATTTTAGCAAAAGTAATCATACACTAATACTAAAATACCTTTAATTTTTACCTAAAAAATTACAAATATACCATTATACATATGCAATTACTTTATACATAAAGTCAAATAACAAAAATGTCAAAATATCTTACACATTTCAACTAATTAATTATATATTATTATTTTTTAATTTATTATAAAATTCCAGAGGGCCCCTTTCAAAAGGGACAGAAAGATTATATTATTATTGTAATATATTCATATTATAGATTGAATAAACATGAAAGTAAAGATGAAAAATCACTTTGTAGAGTGTGGAATGCTAGTAATATCTTTTAATTTAATACATCCATGAGATTATAAATTGCATCAAAATGAGATCAAGTAATTTCTTGTATCAAAATAAGATATACTCCTAACTTATAAATATATATATATATCACTACAAAAAAAAAATAGTATATTTGTAACGGAATTCTGTTCCTAAAGTTCACGTAGCTAACGTAATCCTATCTCTAATTATGTCTCTAATATTAGTAACGGAAAAAGTGAATTTAGAAACGAAAAAACCTCATTACAAAATTGATAATTTCTTGTAGTGTATTATGAGCTTGATCAGATAAATATCGATAAGATTTGAATCGATGACCTTGCAATCACCAGTCCAAACACCATCAACTCGGCAACTCCTTGTTACGATCTAATTTGTATTTACTTAATGGTTAATTAACCGGTGTTAGAACTCTCCCTCCCCTCTCTCTCTCTTTCTCTCTCTCTCCCCCCTTTCTCTCTCTCTCTCTCTCATACAATATTTCATGCATATTCTTGGTTGGTTGCTAGGCTAGCTAGTGAATATCTTCCCCTCTAATATATATATATATATATAGAGAGAGAGAGAGATAAGCAAGCATATAAAGCAATCAATCAAGTGGTCCTCTAAAGCTTAGTTAAATGCTTATAGGCAATCAATCAATAGAGAGAGATTGGTTGATTGGTTACTGGACAAACAAGCATCTAAAGACAGCTCCAACCACACATGCATATCACCAAACAAACAACCACCCCAATCTCTCACCTCTCTCTCTCTCTCTCTCAATAATTTTCAAATTGATCATCAATCACCCTCTATAAATTCACACATCATTTCTCACTCCCACCCACACAATCCACCACAAAACCCTAATTCTTTTATACATTGATTTGGGAGCAATACTTAGTTATGGATGTGGTAAATTTAAATCAGTTTTGCATAATCTTCCCTTGTTATGTGATGATGATCCTCACAATTCTATGGATTTGGAGAATAGTGAATTGGGTGTGGATTAGGCCTCTTCAAGTGGAGAAATCCCTCAGGGCTCAGGGCTTCAATGGCAACCCTTACAGACTGCTTCACGGCGACAGTCGCGACATGGCTGCCATGATCCGCGACGCTCAATCCCGACCCATTCATCTCTCCCAACGCAACATTCTCCCGCGTGTCCTCCCTCTACACCATCACATAATCGCCAACTACGGTCAGAAACTTCGCCTTCACCTTAAATTAATTATTTCTCTGCAAGTGTGTTTGTTTTCTGTTTCAAATCACCATTTTCAATAAACGTATATTATTTACTTCGATAAAATATATATTATATCAAAACTTGAATCAACATTCAATTTCAAATCAATTTCAAATTGCACCCTACATACATTGGTTACAGAATGGCACATTATTTCACTGTTACATTGATAACTTTAACTACATAGATATATATATATATATAGATAATATAAATTATTGCTTGACCTTAATGAGTGTAGATTCAATTTTGGATCTTGGATTATAATTTCTTGATGCTTTGTCTGTGTCATTGCAGATCAAGAAATGGTTCGATTAGGTAGGTAGCTAGGCTGGGGAGTAACCTAGGACTAGGGTTAGGGTATTAATATATATGTTATGTATAGGGTTGTGTAATGTGTAGTTTAATTTATTAATTGAATCAGTGTTGGGTGTCTTCCTTGTCTCGTGCTTCCCAACTTATGACTGTCGGAAATGAAAAGGACAACAAACCCTATCCCTGCCTGGCTACCCATAAATTTAAAATTATTAGACCTATTTCGGGTGGTCGGGCTTAGTTTGCACGCTATTGCTCTCGACTTGAGATTTACCCAGTGTGAACTCAAGTACCGATAGAAAGTTGTACAAAATAATAAAAATAAAATAAGATAATTAATGTTTAGTAACTTTTATTTTACATATAAAAGATTATGCCTCGAATAATGCAGTTGAACATTGCAGTTTATATCTATACTAATAGGTTGTATCATTAATAGTTAGTACGCATGCATACTAAAAGGTCCTAGTATTTTAATTTTAATATTTTACATAAATGTATTCCAACATACTATATCACTTTTAATAATTTCAAGAAAAATATGGTACCACGAAATTGCACGAAATCCCTCGTGCTTATAAAATTACGTCAAACTCTCTTGTAGTTTCATAAATTCTGCGTTTAACCCATCGGCCCTCCTTATTTAACGTTGTTTGATCTGCACCTGTCCAAAATGCGAATAAATTTCAAAATCTTTATTTCTAAACCCTTTAAATTACAAATATAGTCATTATTCTTATTATTTAACCTCAAGAAATATTAAATATACTCAAAATAGTTATTTTTATGTGATTTTAAAAGTTCTTTTTTTTTTTTACTGTTTTTAAAGCTAAATATAAAATAAATGTATATATTTATAACTTTAGGAGTTTAGAAATGAGTATTATGAAATTCATTCACAGTTTGAGCACGTGTAAGCAAAAAAACTGATAAATAAGAATTGTCGAGGGGTTAGACGCAGAGTTTATGAAACTATTTGACCCAATTTTTAAATTATGGAGGGTTTTGCACAATTTTGTGAAACCACATGTGAGTTTTACGCAATTTAGCCAAATATATTAAAAATTATTTATTTTGAATTAAGTTGATGTGATAATTTTAATAAATATAATATTCTTATTTATTCAAAATTTTATCCATGAAATATATATTAATTAATCTTGGAACAAATAATTTATATATATATATATTTCGAAAAATTATAGGTATAATTATTTTTAATAATATTAAAACTTTAAAAAGATATATTTAAATTATTTGTACAAATTATTTGTATATTTATTTAAAATATAAATTAAAGATTTTGTGCCTTGGTTGGATTTCTCCAAAAAAAAATTTATTATTCATCAATTGTTTCTAAAAATATATATATATGAAATCAAACTCTTATTTTTTTATATTATAATACTAATAATAAGAATGATTTGATGCCGCATAGTAAGTTAAAATTTAATGAGGAGATTATTTGGATGAAACATTATAAAAATATATATGTATAATATATTTTACTGTCAACAATGGGAGTATAATTTGTACATAATAATTAAAAATATATTTTTAATACGGTGTAATACTAAATTTTAAAACAAGTGCACAATTTCACTCACATGTTTTATGGATCAATTCAATATCATAAAACGAAAATTAGGATGCATGATTGTCATTTTGAATAATTAATTTGAATCTAGATAGAGAATTAAGTACAGATTAAATTGTAAAATTGTTAATGTGTAAAGTTATAAAGTAATTAAAGGGTAACACTACTATAACTTCAGTATTTTACAGATCTTCTCGTGGATAAAATATGTATATATATATATATAGTAAATTGCAAAAAATATCTCACACTTATACTCTATTATCACTTTTGTCCTATATTTATCTCTGTGGCAAAATATATTCCACATGTTTACAAAAGTCGTTATTTATGTCCTTTTCTTGCGCGTGAAATTCACACCACGCGCCCTTACGTGCAATCACGCACAGTCAAATGATAGAAATAGCGACTTTTGAAAACATATGGGATATATTTTGTCAGAGAGATAAATACAGGACAAAAGTGATAATGAGGTATAGGTGTGGGATATTTTTTGTAATTTTCCCTATATATATATATATATATATTAAAAATCAAAAGTATTTGTTATAAAGAAATGTTTTTCACTTCGAACTCTATGAAATCAACTTAGTTTTTTTTTTTTTTTTCTATAATTCTTGTTAATGGCATTTAGCCACAAATCAATTTTGGTGAAATAAAATGTTTTATATATATATATATATATTAATGTGGTGCAATTTACGAAACTTGCTATGCTAAGCAAGAAATATATCAGTGTGTGATAGGAAGTAAAAAAAAATGTTATACTTGATGCTTGGTTTTTTAAGTTATTTCATTCGAATCTCTCTCCTTTTTTATTGTTTATTTTCTATTTTATTATGGTTGCAATTTCATTTCATCGATACCTTTGAACTATTAATGATAGAGAAAATGGTGTTTTAGTATATAATTTCTTCCCTAATCTATGCATATGTTATTTATTTTACCTGATCGAATATTGTCGCGAATGCACATATTTTTCCAGGAAAAGCTTCATTCATATGGATAGGACCTGAGGCAAGAGTTTTGATTATGGATCCTCTCCTCATACAAGAAATATTGAATAAAAACAATGTTTTCAAGAAACCAACACCAAATCCACTTGCAAAATACCTCGTATGTGGATTGTCCGGCTATGAGGATCTCAAATGGGCCAAACATAGGAAAATCATCAATCCCGCTTTTTATCTTGAAAAACTAAAGGTACCTAATGATACTTTGTTCGCTTGTTTTTTACCCACTATTTTATTACGCCTTTGTATCCTATTTAGATCCCTTATATCTTTGATGAAGCATAATACAAGAGCTTATATAGATACCCATAGGGGTACAATATAATTCATTTCTAAAGATCGAAATCAAGTCTCCAAGTAAAAGGAATTGTCTATAAAATTATCAAGAATACTCCTTGATACCTTAGATAGCCATGTCGCGGATGAGAAGAACAAGTTCTAAGCGGGAATGAAACAATATATAATCGATGATTTATATTGTGTAAGCAATTCAAAATCAAAACAATTCCGATTATCTTTTTGAATAAGACAAACATACAAGTCGTGTTGGCAACTCAAAACATGTTAATGAAGGATTGATCAATTTTTATGTTGTAACGCGGTTCATAATGGACCTAGAACTTGAGTGATAAATAATTTTTCGTGTTCTTAATTTAATAAAACCCAAACGATCTTTTTCTTTCAATAGTAGTATGCCTTAGTTAGATGATCTAGCAACCAAGTTGCATGGCTAGTTTACTAATTAGAGCAATTTCAATCCATTGCATTTATTATAACCCTATTTTTGGAGTGAGATATTTTGTGTATTTTGTTATTTTTGGAGTGTATTTGATAATTTTATTTTTTTAGAAAATAATATATAATTTTATATTTTAAAAAGTTATATACTATATAATTTTAGTTTTTTGAAAACTAGGAGTACATAATTTTATTTTTTTAAAGTGATATATAATTTTATTTTGAAAAATGATGGGTTTATTCTTCCATTTATTTTTCCCCACACGTTTTTTCAAAAAAATTAATATACTACACACGTTCATTGTTTTTATATTCCTTACACAATTCATATACCTTACATAAAAATATTTTATTTCCGCCAATCTCACAAAACAAACACACCCACTATGTGATTATATTTTTTAAAAGTAGTATATAGTTTTATATTTTAAAAAGTGATATAGTATAATTTATTTTTTGAAAAGAGAGTAAAATTTTATTTTTTAAAATTTAATGTGTATTTTATTTTTTTAAAAAAAGTAATACTATATAATTTTATCTTTTAGAAAATAATTTTTAATTTTTAAATAAAATATAAATTAAATAGTTTTGGATGATAATGGAAAAATAAACTAAAGTGTTGTGTAATTTATAAATATAAAAATTATATTAAATAATAGTTATAAAAGATAAATGTATAGAGAATATATTGTTTAGAGTAAATTATGAATTTTTACTTCCTTGGAGATAGTCTTAGAGCATATCCAACCGACTGCAAACATGCAATGGATTGACTTGATTTTGAGGGGTTGGGCTCCAATCCAATCCCATTTTCTACTCCATTTTTTTTAGTTGTATATTTTTATAATTTTGTTTTTGTTTTTGTTTGTGTTGTGTAATTTTATTTTTTGAAATGTGATACTTCCTCCGTCCCTTAAATAAGTATCAATTTATTTTTTATACGGAGTTTAATTATATTAGTATTATATTAATATGGAGTATGAATAAAACAAAAATTACTAAAATAACCTTATTAATACTGTATGATATAAAGGTAATGATATTTGTGTAATATACACTACAAAAAAATAATATATTTGTAACGGAATTCCGTCCCTAAAGTTCACGTAGCTAACGTAATTCCGTTCCTAATTCCGTCTCTAATGTCATTAGTAACGGAAAAAGTAGATTTAGAGACAAAAAAATTTTGTTAAAAAATGATTTTTTCTTGTAGTGATATTGTAAGTTGTAAGGGTCTTTGTAATGTTATGTGGATAGTACAATTACTAAAAAAAAATTGAAATGAATATTTTGTTATGGGACAAACCAAAATGGAAAAATGGATAGTTTGTTATGTAACGGGGGAGTATATAATTTTATTTTTGGATAAATAATGTGTACTTTTATTTTTTGAAAGGCAATATATAATTTTATATCTTAAAAAAGTGATTTATAATTTTATTTTTTAAGAGAGTGATATACAATTTTATTTTTTGAAAATAGATATATAAAGTAGTAAAAAGTTAAAATTGGATGTAATTTATAAATATAAAAAGTTGAATAAAATAATATAAGAGAAGAATACATAGAAATATACTTTTTAGAGTAAAAATTGAAATTTATGGCTGAAGTACAATTAATGTAGATCAACTACATTTTTTCTATAGTTATTGCATTTTGGAGTAATGCCGTTGGAAATGGCCTTATAGCCGCATAAATTTTGCTGCAAATAATTTCGAAGATCTCATATAGTTGTGACTATACATATCTACAACAAACTACATTGATAAACTTAAAACAATTTCAATGCAAAGACCAAAATTTGTTTGTTTCATGATTTGGTTTGAAGAGAACTTTTATGTGAAGTATAAAAAATAGTTCAGGCAATATAGAAATAATAAGTATATATAATATATTAATTTTTTTTGGGAGAAATATGTTACATTTTTTTTCACTAAACAAACAACATGTATATATATATATATTTTTTTTAATGACATGGGAACCCGCAGTGGCTACCCAAGAGTGCGCACTGGGTAAACCCCAGCCGAACCTAATACCCTGTAAGTCCAACGGAAAAGTCACACTAGGCAAACCATGTGTAGCAGGTGACCTGAGGCGTCGGGGGTTTGAACCATGTAAATTTTTTAAAAATATTACATATCATATGAGATTCACTTAAAATTTTACTAATTTCTATCTACCTTCGATAAACAAATACTTCAAATTATATACATTTAAAAGGTAATTAATTAGGGGTCACTCCCTTATTTTTGTCTCCGCTACTCTTAGTCGATCTAGGTGGCCTATCACCTTTGATCATTTTTTATTTTTCGGGTATGCCCGGCGTTTCTAGTAAATATCTCTGTTTATTTTTATTTATATAAAAACTCCTTGATCTTTCTGATAAAAAAAAAATTACTATATTTTTATAATATTAATTAATTTATATTAATCCTAAATAAATATTTATATTTTTTATTTATTTGTATTATACTATAATGTTTTTCTATAAAATGATTTCATATTATATATATTTTATTGAAATATAGTACTTAAAATATTTTAATCATATATATATTATATCATAAATCAAATATTAATTCAGGGTGTGTTTGTTTGGGATATTGGATTTTAAATACACTATTCATTCTATTTTTTTCCCTCAAAAAACATCAAATCAAACACCTATTTTTTATTTTTTATATTATACTAAAAGTCAATTTTACATTCAAAACATCACATCTACACTTATTTATATCACATCGTACAACTATATCACTACAAGAAATTATCAATTTTGTAACGAGATTTTTTCGTTCCTAAATTCATTTTTTCCGTTACTAATGATATTAGAGACGGAATTAGAGATGAAATTACGTTAACTACGTGAACTTTAGGAACGGAATTCCGTTACAAATATATTATTTTTTTTTGTAGTGTATTCAAATTCAAAATTTTTACTATTCAAATCTCAACTCAAAATCCAAACCCAAAAACAAAAATAAATGAAACACACTTCTAACTTAAAATTCAACTGATAATCAAACACACCTTGAATTGTTTCCTCCTATTCTACTACCTTAAATCCTCATCAAAACACAAAAATAAATGAAGTTCTTTGATATAAAGGAACAATGTGTCGATTGAATTTGTGCTTTTTGGCTAAAACTTAACGACTTTACGTGCACACATATTTATTTGTAAGTGTAAATTTCAGAACATGGTGGGTGATATGTCTACGAGCTGCTCGGCTATGGCGAAAAAGTGGGAAGATTTATTTGAAGGGAGAATGGTAATAGAGATAGATGTGCAACCATATTTGTGGGAATTGAGCTGCGAGATAATATCGAAAACGGCGTTTGGAAGCAGAAATGAAGAAGGAAAGAAGATTCTCAAACTACAAGGAGAGCAAGCTGAACTTACTCGTCAAGTTTTGCAGTCAGTTTACGTTCCTGGATGGAGGTAACATACACACATACCTACCTATTTAATTCGCAATTTTAATTACAAATTTAGTAAATTATTTGATTTCATAATAAATTTTTAGGAGTAAAGAAATATGTATATAGTTTTGTGCGTGACACTCAATATTATTTTAGTCGTTTAAATAAAATCTATATAGAAGTAGTCTCATTTCTAATCTGTGGTCGCCAAAAGTACTTTAATATTATAATATTGTCATGTGTGCTGACATGATATTTTTGGAGCTGATATGAATTAATTATATAAATCAAATATATAAATAATTAGAATCTTGTTTATAAAAAAGTGGGTTCAGATATATGCTTCTCAAAAAAATACTTATTCAAAAAATATAATATATATATATAATAGATATAAGATGTATACATGTTTTTTGAATATGATATTTTGTGCGATAAAATTATATATATTTTCATAAAAACTTAATAGTAAACAATTAAAAATAATTTCTAAGCTGTTAACTCTAGAGTTTTCTATCACAAAAATACATAAATAAATAAAAAGAATCACCATTCTTGGTTCTATACATAGAAGTAGTTAGAAACTAAGGGTGTGTTTGTGGGGTTGAGATTGTATTTGGTTGAATTGGGAATTTGGGATTTGGTCAATTACAATTATTTATCTGATTGAAATAACTTTATAATGTATATTTAGATTTTTTTAAAATGTATTTTAAAAAATTAAGCTCGATATGGATTCATTTGTAGATAATAAAAATAAATATAATACAAATAAAAAAGACATATATCGATAACATAAATCAATATTATAAAAATTAAGAATTTTGAATATATATATTTATGCATACATTTATTTACGATAAATAAAAATATAGTACTATAAATATATCATTCGACAATCATTCTGACAAATAAAAAATTACAGATATGTTCCAACAAGGAGAAATAGGAGACTGAAAGAGATCAATAGTCAAGTGTGCACTCTACTAAGAAGCATAATCAATCAAAGACAAAAGGCAATTGAATTGGGGCATGTCAAGGGTGATGATTTACTAGGAATATTGTTGAAATCGAACGAGAAAGAAATCGAAGAAGATGAAAGCAACTGTGGGATGAGCATAGATGAAGTGATTGAGGAGTGTAAGACATTTTATTTCTCCGGACAAGAGAGCACATCGAACTTGCTCTCTTGGACAATGTTTCTCCTCAGTGTTAACAAAGAATGGCAAGATCGAGCACGAGAAGAGGTTTTCCGGGTTTTTGGAAATGATCCATTGCACTTCGATGGTTTGAATCGCCTCAAAACTGTAAGTTCTTACATGCTTTCATTATTACATAATTAAACAAGGAAAGTAATCATCATATAAGCGATCTTGGAGTTACAACATGGTATTTTCCCTTTCAATAATCGAAAGGATTTGGAATTTATTTCGCGCATATAAGGTCTAAAATTGATTTTATTGTGAACTTCCAATGTTTGCAATCTATACGTTTTTTCATAAAAAAATAAAATAAAATAAAATAATTGATTTTATTATATGTTGGTTAAAACTCGATCTAATTTTATGTTATTCTCTAGTGATATTTAAAAATCTCAAAACAAAAATGGTTATTGTAGTACATGTATAAGATAAGGACAAGTGAATTTCTTTGAAATCTATTTGATATTCCTATGATATGCATAGGCAAATGGATAGAATATAAATTTTTTAAATATTATATTCAAGCATATTTATATATTAAGCAACGGAACTAACCTCCAAATTTGGAGGGCAAAATATGAATTTCTTTGAAATCTATTTGATATTCTATGATATGCATAGGCAAATGGATATAATATAAATTTTTTAAATATTATATTCAAGCATATGTATATATTAAGTAGCGGAACTAACCTCCAAATTTGGAGGGCAAAATATGAATTTAATTTTATCAATTAGATGTCATTTTATTATTATTATTATTATTATTATTATTATTATTATTATTACCTACCAAGGTTAAAAAGAAGGAAAAGAAATTAAGAAAAAAACAAATCGGACAAAAATAATATGTTTGAAATTGAAAAAAAAATTAATATAACTAAATAAATTTTAATATTTTTTAGCAAAAATAAATATTGAAGAACAAATTAATAAAACGATATAAATTTTATTATTTTTTAGTAAAAGATAAATATTGAATAACAAATCAATAAAACGATATAAATTTATTATTTTAGACAAAAATAAAAATAAAAACCAATTTTATTATTTTTAAACAAAAATATATATATATATATTTTCCAAAAAAAAAGGGAAAAATAATTTTACTTTTTTTTTTTTTGAGTACATGACTCATTTATCATTTTAGGATCGTAACTACACTTTGTATTGAATTAGTTTCACAATAAAAATTTTTTTTTTCAGAAATAGTTCTCAGGCGCCAAAGTTGTCGTGGCACGCCAGAAATTGTGTGCGTGACACATGGACAATATTTGAAAATTATTTCTGCCAAAACTTTTTAGTTATGGGACTAATCTAATATAAAGTCTAGTTATGATCCTAAAATAATTTTCAAATCTTTTCTACATGTCATCCACATAATCTCAGCATTTCACAAAGTTGCGATGTCAGCAACTCCAGCGCCTGACGACTATTTCCGTCAAAATTGTTTACTTGTGAGACTAATTCAATACAGGGTCTAGTTATAATGCTAAAACGACACATGGGTCATGTATAAGACTAAAAAGTAATTTTTCAAAAAAAATTATAATAAAAATTACATGAATTTTTTTGCAAGAGTTGTATTTATCTACTAAAATCATAATTATAAAGTATGCTTTTCCAATATATATATATGTAAAATTTTCTCCTTTTCTATTACTTAATATAAATTTATGTGTGCATTTTATTACAGTTAACGATGATTATATACGAGGTTTTAAGGTTGTATCCTCCTGGGGTAATATTCAACCGTATCATCTATGAAGACACGAAGTTAGGACACATGACGTTGCCCGCGGGCGTCCATCTTTTGCTTCCCATTATCCTCCTCCACTATGATCGCGAACTTTGGGGTGACGATGCGCATGACTTCAAACCGGAACGTTTTTCTCAAGGAATTGCAAAGGCAACCAACAATCAACTTGCTTACTTTCCTTTCAGTTGGGGTCCCCGGACATGCATTGGCAACAATTTTTCTCTTTTGGAAGTTAAAGTCACTCTAGCAACAATTCTAAGACGATTTTCATTTCAGTTGTCTGCATCTTACACGCATGCCCCGGCGTATGTAGTCACACTTCAGCCACAATTCGGAGTTCAATTAATGTTGACTAGATTGTAATACGATAAAGCTTCCTTGTATGTCTAGTGTATTCATTGTGTTCCTTTTTTTTTTTTTTTCGATAGCATGAGAATTTACGGTTGTTACTCTTTGAGTGTGCTCTGAATGAATTCTCGATCGAATTTAATAGCTTGTAAACTTAGGTTTGTTTTGTTTTGTTTTATTTTTTTATTTTTTGTTTTGTGAAGTGTTAGTTTTTGTTTTGGAGGCTTGGATATGTTATACTCTCTTCGTCCCAACTCAAAGTATTTTTTTTATTATTTCCACCTCTCACTCAAAATATTAATTTTCTATGTTAGTAATATTATTAACTTTTACTAAATTACAAACATATTGTTATAAATACAATTACCTTGTATATGAAGTTAAAAGGCAAAATGTCAAATCCTCTTACATTTTTCACTAACTAATAAACTATTATTATTTATTAATGTACGAAACTCCAAAATGATACATTTTTGTAGTACAGAGGAAGAGGAAGTAAAATATCTTGAAGACATTTATTCTAAAACCCTTTTACTTCTTCTTGTATTGATTCGTTAATCATATGTAATATGTTCATACCCCACTTACAATACATAATCCGTTGCACATTGAATACAAATTATTTGCTAATTCATTGGTTAATCATCATTCATTTAAAAAATAAAAAATAAAATAATAATAAAAAAAAAATCATAATCCAAGTAAAATTATATTTATACTTAAAAGATAATTTTTGTTGTCAAGCTCAAATTGGAGTTTGAGAGGCATTGTACATCTCTAAAGCGTCCCGCTGAATTATACTTGGGGTCATCTGTATAGTTTATTGGATCGTGTATTATAATATTTTTTTCGTACAAGTTTATATATATTTGATATATTCTCTTTAATGTACACCTCAAAATACTAGTGAAAATACTTGGTTTGGCTGCCCCGGACATAGATCATTATGATCGAATTGGATCACTAAATCTTTGCGTTCTTGTATAGTTTCTTATTTTTCTTTGATTTTTTTAATTTCCGCAATACATTTTCGATCCTTAATTACTGTTTTTTTTAAATTTTCAATAAATGTACTTATTATAGAATTTCATCAAAGTACATCATTATCATTCATCCCTCCAAGTAATATATATTTCATTCTTCTCATCTTATTTGATTATTATTTCTATTTCAGTATGTCCCAACTTATTGTCCTTTTCATTTTAGAAAATAATTATATACTTTAATCACATTTATAATCTTATAATCAATAATTTTTTAATCTTAATTAAATTAATTGGTTATTTTAATATCAATTTATAATTATTTATATTATATAATAATTATTGTTACTAATAAACTCTTAATTATTTAGAAATTATATATTACCTAAATTTCAAATGTACATAACATATGGAGGAAATTTTATTTTTTCAAATATTCCCACCCCAAATATTTTCATCCACACAAATCGTTTTTAAACAAACATAAACATGGGGTTTAAGAATCACCCATCCAACGGGCATAATTTCTAGTAGTTTAAGTTTTTGTCATAAGAAAACTGTTACCTACAAATAATAATAATAATAATAATAATAATAATAATAATAATAATAATAATAATAATAATAATGGTAGCAGGATCTTAAAGAATGATGATCGGCCGATACGGAGGTCGGACAGGTCGGACACGGAAGATCAGATGTAATAAGGTCAGACACGGAGGTCGGACAGGACAAGGTCGGGCACAGAGATCGGACGTGATAAGGTCGGGCAAAGAAGAAGTATCGGCAGACGCGAAGGTCTGTCAAGACGAAGGTCGGGCAAAGAAGAAGTATCGGCAGACGCGGAAGTCTGTCAAAACGAAAGTCGGGCAAAGAAGAAGTATCGGCAGACGGCGGAGGTCTTTCAAGAGAATAGTCTGTTGAACCAGTTGTCAACTAAGGAGATAAGGCCAACAGAGCCGGTCGGTTGGTTCGCTGTCGGATGATTCGTTGTCGGTTGGTTCGCCATCGGTTGGTTCGAAGTCGGTTGGTCCGCCGTCGGTTGGTTCGCTGTCGGATGGTTCGCCATCGGTTGGTCCACCGTCGGTTAGTTCGCTGTCGGACCAAATGAGGTCGGACGGAGGACAGCTGATACGAAGGTCGGTCGAAAGAGGAAGTCGGGCGAATAAGGACGACTGATACGGCGGTCGGTCGAAAGAGGAAGTCGGGCGAAGAATGACGGTTATTACGCAGGTCGGACCAAGTGAGGTCGAGCGAAGAAGAATGAGACGGATACAAGGTCGGACAAGAGACCAGATGGTGGTCGCTTGGTGGGGCTGCCAAGGATTCGTTTGGTCTAGCGATCAGTTAGTCTCTGGATTGGTCGGTTGGATTATGCTGTTGGCGAGACGGTTAAAGACACATGTGATGAATTGGTGGGCGGTTGCTGTAACCAATTAGACGACCGTTCTGAAACGTTTTCTTGAAAGAATATTTAAGGATTTGGATTTATTCTAAAAAGGTATTTCAATCGACATCAAATTCAAAAGAATTGTCTTTGGGATCACCACTTTATTTTTTAGTATGTAGTTTTATTTTTCTATTTTATTTATGTATCTACCTGTTTAGAGATTCCTAGTATAAAGCACTAAGTATATCAAATTCGGAGATAATTTTTTATTTTCAAATTTAATTGTATCAACAAAAACAAATGAATTTTGATATCTAATTAAATTAATTTATATTTATTAAATATACACTAACGTAAAAAAATTTATTGGAAATGTATCTTTTATTATTATTCGTCATATTAAAATGAAAATGATAATTATTATTTTTTGTAAGTAAGCTAACAATTTCATTCTTTCGGCCAAAAGCATTCTTAAAAGGATAAAAATTAAATAAAACCTTTTTTGGACAAGCGCAAATTACACCCTGAATTATGACATGGTGAATTTGGTTTGGGTCAAAGGCAGAGAGTGAGTAGTAAGGAGCAATTCCGATCCTCAGTCTCATCATCAAGACGATCGCCACACCTCATCACCTCCATTGACTCCATCGAATCAATTCAAGAACAACCATCAACCATGGCGAGCTTTGCTACTATTCCGTCCACAAAACCCTGCTGGCAATGGCATCCCACCATCTGCATTCCCCCAAACCCTAATCACCCAAATTATTGCTTCAATTTCCTCCCTCTCCCCTCAACCAAGCCAAGTCCCTTCCCCTGCCTCGCCGCCGCCCCTTCCAATCCCGCCGCCGCAGCTCCCCTGGTGGTGGTCGGATCGGCAAATGCCGACATCTACGTGGAGATCGACAGGTTGCCGAAGGAAGGCGAGACCATCTCCGCCAAAACTGGCCAAACCCTTGCCGGCGGCAAGGGTGCGAATCAGGCGGTGTGCGCGGGGAAATTGGCTCACCCGACCTACTTCGTGGGGCAGGTCGGGGAAGATGCTAACGGAAAATTGATCTCCGACGCGCTGGCGAGCGGCGGAGTTTTACTTGACCGGCTGATCACTGTCGGCGGCGCCCCCACGGGGCACGCCGTGGTGATGCTACAGGGCGATGGGCAGAACTCCATTATAATTGTTGGAGGTGCGAATATGGAGTGTTGGCCGGAGATTTTGGATGAACAGATTTTGGAAGTGGTCAGAAATGCCGGAATTCTTCTGCTGCAGAGGGAAATTCCTGATTTCGTCAACATTCAGGTCGCAAGGGTAAGAGACATTCATTTTATGTAGTGATCGTATTCTGTTGATGATTGAAGTGAATTTTTCCTTAGGGCTTTAATTTTTCGAAGGGAGTTCAATCCAATTATAATTTATGCACCTTAATTTTGCATTTTAGAGGTTGCTGTAGGACTTTGTGGACTGAATTGTTTGTTAATGGAATGTAATTATACATGTGATGATGTGAAAGGCTTTTGTAAGATGATCGAGAATATAATTCCTGGTGTAGATAATCCTTACTGATAATCAGCATTGTCATCTTTCAAGTTACTTCGATTAGATTTTCTTCGGTTTTGTGTCTGTGTTTCTTTCTTGTTCAAAGGTAGCTCTAAAGCCACTAAACAGTTGTATGCAGAAGTAGTCGTGCAAAGTAGGTTGCTAGCGAAAAGTATAGTATGATTGACCGCTGGTCGATAAGTTCTGTGGGTCTGTGTTTTGAATATGACCGTACTCCTATGTTAGTTTGAATTTTAATCTAAACTACGAGTTTGTGAAATGTTGATTTTTCTTGATGGGGATATGAAAGTGGACGGCATGTTCATCTTTTAAGAATTGTATGCTCGTTATAAGTGTTATAAGCGGCGTAAATTGAAGGAAAACAATTCCCAAGCATAATGCTTGAAGTTGATTGGTTCGAATTGTAGATTGAAATGTTTAACTTAGGATTTTTGTGTGGTTGCGCTTATGATGAATCATATTTGATGGTTATGCTACAAAAGGAACTCAAAATACTGATATAATTTCGCTCTTTTCATTGGTTTGGAAAAAAGTTTGGTTTGAATTTGGTATTAAAATAATGTTTGATGGGATGTTTTGTGAGAGAAAAAAGTATATTTTTTTCAGGGAACGCAGAGTTCAAATAGTAAAAAATCGTAGGTTTAGGTCAAAAGAAACAGATCCATTTACACTAAATTCTTGTGTTTCAGAAAAGTCATGAAAAAAATAAATATGTTAATAACTTCTTTACATTTACCGAAACATGCCAATAAACCAGTGGAAGGTATTTTGCATTTTATAAAAATGTGGAAGTCACGAAGTAGTTGGCATCTTTAATTCACAGGACTTTTTAGATCACAAAATTTTCAGGAATGATTTATATGTAAGCATGAAAAATAATCTCTGCACTTTCTCAGAGTTTTTATAGGATCGAACATTTTAAACTATGGTGGATACACAACAATGGGCTGTTGTTTGGATGATAATTTACAGCAATTATAAATCTTATTAATGATATTCTTAACCGATCATCTGAATAAATAATCAGGTTGCAAGGAGTGCCGGTGTTCCCGTGATCTTGGATGCTGGAGGGTTTGATGCACCAATCCCTCCCGAGCTACTCAGCAATATCGACATTTTCAGCCCAAATGAAACTGAGCTTTCACGTCTTACAAATATGCAAACAGAAACTTTTGAACAGATCAGCCAAGCTGTTGGAAAATGCCACAAAATGGTTAGTTCATGAATATGCGAAACCTTATTTTCGAAAACTCTAAATTTTTTCTGGAAAAAAAAAACGATATGTTCAATCTATCGAGGTTTTTGATATATTTTAGGATTCCACTGATATTTTAATTACATTTTCAAAGAAAAAGACAAAATCTTTCTTTTAATCGAAGTTTTTGTTGCTAGAAATTTTTTGTTTAGCCGGTTGGATAAATTAACATAATCTTGTTTTCATTTTAAAGGATAATGCCCTCAATTAATTACCTAAATTTATAGAGTTATTAATTGTATCTTTATATCAATTAGCAATCTCATTGAACTTTTTATTCCAGCCTATCGAAGCAAATATGAAGAGTGTTATAGTGAAATGAAGATTTCTTGAATTGTGTATGGTGTTGCTTGATGATGTCCTCCCTTAGGGTGTTAAGAAAGTGCTCGTGAAACTCGGAAGCAAAGGATCCGCACTTTTCACAGAAGGGAAGGATCCGATTAAACAAGATGTAATATCAGCTCGTAGAGTGGTTGATACCACCGGAGCAGGTGATACTTTCACAGCTGCTTTTGCTGTGGCGCTTGTCGAGGGAAAGTCAAAAAAAGAGTGTTTGAGATTTGCCGGTAAGCAATGTTTGTGGATTTGAGCAATAAGATATTATTTCTGAAAGTTTTGGTCGATATAAGTTGTTATAAAATGATATTTTAGAGTTTGAAATGTTGTTTATGTTTACGACTACAAGATAGATGCTTATAATTCTCAACAACTTTTTGTCAAATTTGATATCTGTTGGATTTCGAGTTTTGTATATTTTGAAAGTGATTTTTTTCTGATTCGGGTTCCGATTGTTTTTCAGCTGCGGCTGCTTCGCTGTGTGTTGAAGTGAAGGGCGCCATACCGGGCATGCCGGATAGAAATTCGATTTTGGATCTTCTAAAGAGTGTTTGATTCACTCATCTTGTGAGTAATATTTACAAAGTTTTGGGCATAAATAAGATCCTCAGAAAGTTTTCACTGATGATTGAGAGCAGTTTAGGGTGTGTTTGGTTGCGATTTCAAACACTAATTATTATTCGCTCTGCACAATTTTCAATAAAAATATATTTCTATTTGTCCTATACGTTTTTTATTATTTTCGTCAAATTATCTTTTACTTATAAGAACAAAAATATTAAAATTATCTTATATAATTTTCAAAAAAAAAAAGGTAAATTGTAATTTTGAGTGGGAACGAAGAAAGTATTACTTTTATTTTTTTTATAAAATATCGTAGTAAAATATAATTAAAACAAAAATTAAGTCAACTACAAAGTGTCGTTTGCCTATGTATATATTCTTTTGGCCGGTTAAATTTATTCTTCAATCTGTTTGTTTAAATTTATTTTATTACTAATTTTGACAAAGTCAATAAATTAAACATTTAATTATTATTTTTCATTTAATACTTATTTACAATAAATATCATTTTTTTTATTTACTTAATTTCTATCTAAATTTTAAAAAAATCCCTAATTACCAATCATTTTTTCAATAAAATATTTATTCTTTTAGTCCCATGTCCGATCCAAGTAGACTAATTTTAACGAACGGACGAAATATTATAAATATTAAATGTGTACTATAGGCTCTATCATATTATGCTCTTTCTCTCTCCAATTCTCTCTCTCTCTCGACCATGTTGAAACTGAGTATACTAAGAGCAAACGCAATAAAGTTATTTTTGATGGCATCATTATCTTACTTGAGGCGGGTTTTGCAAAAATAAAAAATTAAATCACACATTATACATTAAACCTAAGCTGTTTTGAACTAGCTTTTTCAAACAGGTCTGGTACAGTAGATGTCATCTCAGCTCGTACTTTTTCTCTTTCTCTTTCTTCCTTTTTCCTCCGAAAATGATTTATGAAAGAACAAGTTTGTGACTTCTTCGTCGAGGTGGCCTACCGCCGGTGTCGTTGCCGCAATTGTGCATTCGGATCACGTTGGGACAGAAATCGTCTTTGTCATAGGCTAGTTCGTTGTCATTCCGTATGTTCTTTAACACTACAAAAGTTTATAAGGGTTTATAGTTTCTCTACTTTGGAAATAAATGAGTAATCCTTAAAATCGGTATATATCCAAATCTTGAAATATTTACCAAGTTTAGAACATTTATTCTAGGGCTAACATTTGTCAATTTCAAAAACATTATTTTTAGGGCAGAAGTCGATTTTGTTTAAACTTTTTTCCTAAATCTTTTATGGAAATTTCTATTTGCACCAAATCTTTCAATCTCTCCAAACCCAAGTAGCGGAGAGAAAATAAGAAGAAAAGAATAAGCTAGAATTAAAAGTTTTTCTTACCGGAATTTGAAGACCGATTTGGAGTTTGGAGAGAAAGAAAGAAGAACTGTACATGGCGATAACGTGGCCTTATTCCTGTTAGAATCTGAATAAATACATATTTTGATATAATTATCAAATATAAAAATAATATATTGTATAATGAAAGAAAATATTGGGGGTGTATTTTTGGAATTTTGTAAATAGTAAATATTTGAGTGTGTTATTCAGTATCTATAATTTTTTAGCTATTTTTATATATAGTATTGTAAAAATATGATATTTTGTGTATTTTTATTGACTTTTATTAATTTATCTTTACATATTGTGTCCAAATTATTGTTTTTGTATGTTCCCTATTTCATGTCATTTTTATTTTTAAAAAAAAATATATATACATTTTAAGTCTATTTTAAATTTTTATTTTTTTTAATTTTGATTAAGTTAATTAGCTCTTTTAATTTTAATTTATAAAGTTTGAATATATACAAAATATTCATAATAGATAACAATTATCAATGATCACTTTTATAAACCTATGCTTGTTGGGACCAAATCCTCTATTCTCAAATTTTTCTATTTTCCATATTCCAACAAATAAAGTTATGACACTAGGAGAGACGAGAGAAAAAAAAAAATTAAGAAAGAGTATATATGAATATGATTTAAAATATATATTTTTTAAAAATTATATTTTTATTACTTTTCTTTTTTTAAAATTAATTATACTCAAATTAATTATTATTTTATTATTATATTATTTAATTGTAAAAATATAATTTTTTTTATTTTTTTAAATATTACCATAAAATACCATTTAAATATAATTTTATGAATAAAATATTACACAACTTATTATTTAAATGATTTTTATGTAACATTTAAATTTTAAATATATATATATAATATGATATTTTGTAAAAAATAATATAATATATATATAAGAATAAAAGAATAAATTTCTTAATAATATATCACGATTTGGATTTAATATATCACGATTTGGGTTCGATTCAAGATAAGGGTGTGTAGGGAGTAAAAATGGAAAACTTTTGTCAATGTCTAATATCTTAATATGTTTTCATCATTTCGATTTAAATATTGGTTTGAATAGTAATTTAAGTGTGATATTATAAAATTATAAATTTTATTAAAAACTATAAAATTCAAATAACAAATAATAAATATTGTAAATGAAACACACCGAAATATTTTAAACACTTCGAGTCACAATCAAAATAGATACAAATCTACTTATAAGGGTGTGTTTGTTTGGAGGTTTGGATTTTGAGTTGGGATTTGAATAGTAAAAATTTTGAATTTGAATAGTTGTATGATGTGATATAAATAGGTGTTGATGTGATATTTTGAATGTAAAATTGATTTTTAGTATAATATAAAAAATGAAAAATAGGTGTTTGATTTGATGTTTTTGGGGAAAAAAAATTAGATGAATAGTAAAAGAAAAATCCAATCCCTCAAACAAACACACCCTCAAAATTTGAAGAATAAAAATGAGACAACATAGCCAACAAATCATATTTGGACAAGAATCTTCAATTATTCAAACATTTATATCTTATTCAATCTAATGATTGCTATAATCTTCCCATCAAATCACGTGTGGAGTGTAATTTTTGGATTACTTAAATTTTTTTAATTGCTTAGGAGGGAACATTATAAATACTATCTACTCCTTGTAACAAGGTATCAATTTATTATTTGCGTTATTATTTTTAACATTAAAAATATATTTATATTTGTATAATTTTTTGTACAAATATCATTATATTGATATTATAAAACACTAATAGAAGTATTTTTGTCATTTTCGCTTAATTTATAATACGTTTTGATATAATAATTAATATTCAAATATCAACACGCAAAAAGTAAATGATTATTTAGTTACGAGACGAATGGAGTATAATTTTATTTACAGTAAACTATATGCTCTCTTTATCTATCTCATTAAAATAGACGAAATTAATAAAAATAATATTTTGAGTTGAAATGAATAAAATATAACATATCATTTTATTATGGGAGGAATTACTGATTTGAGAAAATCAGTACGGTGCTAATATTTCAAAACAATAATAAAATATACATATATCACATTTTTTTACTCCACATAATATATGTGGTGTAAAATAAAGATATATGTTATCGGTTTATACAGATAACAACGTGTATTGTATAATAGTATATTATATGCTAAAATTAATCATTGCATTTGTATTATACGTTGTGTTTGTATTATATTGATATAAATTATGTGTTGAATGTAGTAATAGTATGTAGTTAATAAGTTTGTATTGATTTTTTTTTTCGAAAAAAAAATAATACTCTATCATAATACAATAGTCTTGTTTATCATTTCTGTGTGTTTGAAAATAATAATCTCATTTTAAAAAATAATCATATCACTATAAAAACCTTTATTTTTATTATTATTATTACACAAATGTCACTATTTTTTACACTAAATAGGAATATAGTTCTAGGATGGAGGGAATAATGACTAAGAATCACGTAACTATTTATTTTTTTATACTCCCTCCGTCCCATAACAAAGTATACATTTTTTCATTTTAATCCGTCTCATAACGAAGTATCCATTTCTTTTTTTTTTTAGTAATTGTACTATCTTCCTAATATTACAAATACCCTTACAACTTACAATATATTACACAAATGTCATTATTTTTATATCACACGTACTAATAAGGTTATTTTAATCATTTCTATTTTATTCCTACTATATCCCAATATAATATTAATATTTTTAAAACTAAGTGAAAAAAAAAACAAAAATGAATATTTATTTTTGGACAGGGGAGTACAATATAAAGTCATCCGCATGAGAATAAACATATTATTATCTATAATAAAATTCTTGTGCTGATTAATATATAATATATATTTTAAAAGCATATTATGTAATCATAGGTAAAAAAATATATTGTAATTTGAGCACAATAGTAATTTGATCCATCAACAAATATTTATAAGAAAAATAGCAAAAATTAATATAATATATAGCAACACAAAATATAATATTTATCTTGTGAAAAATACTAATTATTTTAAGTTAGATTTACTAATTTGGTCAAATCATACAGCCACCTATTAATAGTTAATTTTAAATAGGAAATGTATACTATACATATATACTTTATAGTAACACTAAAAAAATATTCAAGATGGATCATACGCTGAAATGACTAATTCAGCAAAGGTGAATTTAATTTCAACTCTTAATTTTAATTTTAAAATTTAATTTAAAGATCATCCATTAAAACCTAAAAGTTGTCATATATTTACAAATCAGCATATGATCCAAGACCAAAAATACTATGCAATAAATGAAACATAATGCTCTATTTATATAAGAATTTTGGAAGTTTGTTAAGTTTTGAAAATGGTAACAAAAAAATTAAATAAAAATAAATATTGAATATAGTAATTTATATATTAAAAAAGTTTGAAACATAGTAATTTAAATGAAATTAAATACTTCCTCCGGCCAATTTATATTATCGTAAAGTATATTTGTACGATTGTTTAGGTGATTGTCTTTTTGTTATGAATTGACAAATTTGCCCTTAATTGTATGGTAGAGATTAAAAGTAATAAATAATTAATGATGAGTAAAAATGTAAAATTTATGTTTAAAAAAAAAAGAAATTGTTGGACGTCCTAAATAGAAAAATAGGACATTAGTTTGTGAACAAAATGAGCATTTGACATACTATTATTTTTTAAAAAAAAAAAAATTATTATTAAATAATATTAAAGTTTCCAAAATGTAGGTGTAAACAAAGGCAAAGTATTTTATGTACTTTCCCTTCCTCGGTTAATTGACACTTTCCATTAGTAACACAGTATTTAAGACAATGATGTTTAATTAATTAATAATAGTGAATTATTGTATTATTTTATTATTTTTTATGTAATTAATAATATTTGTAGTTTTAAAATAAATTTAATGTATATATAATTTTAAAAAGATTAGAATATGTATTTAAATATTTTAAAAATTATATTACAATAAAAAATATATGCATATGGATATCTTTTATAGAGAATAAAAATTATTTATTTATTTATAATTATAATAAACTCATTTCTATAAAAAAGGTGAAGTTTTAAACGAAAATATTTAATTTTTAAGAGACAGATAAAGGTAAAAGAATTTTGAGTGGTATTATATATATTATGTGGCTAATTAAATTGATTTATATTTGTTATATATTTTTTTATTAGTAAATTTTACAAAAAAAAATAGAAAGATATTTATTGTTATGAAACAAACAAAAATGAAAAATATGTCAATTAAGTTAGAATGGAAGGAGTATACATTAATATTTATTGTACCCTTTTGGGTTTGTTTGTTTGTTTAGTGTTTAGGTTTGGTGTATATTTTTTTTCGTGTGAAATCTAAAAAATATTGTAAATAATATAAAAAAATATTTTATATTAAATATTAATATTTTGTGAGATGATAAAATATAATAATATATTATAATATATATTGAGAATGAATGAAAGTAATGGAAGAACAATTATTTCTCCATATAAGGGATGACAGTCACTTAGTTTTTAATAATAATAATAGTTCAAAGTAACTAACTACGCGTTTGTTCGGGAATTGGATTTTAAATTTACTATTTATTCTATCTTTTTTCTCAAAAATATCAAATCAAATATCTATTTTTTATTTTTTTATATCATACTCCTCCGTCTCATAACTAGATATCAATTTGTTTTTGGCACGTATTTTTAGAAATATTATTAATATTATATTATAATATAGTATGAATAAAGTAGAAATAACTAAATTAACCTTATTAGTATGTGTGAAATAAAGGTAATGATATTTGTGTAATATATTGTAAGTTGTAAGGGTATTTGTAATGTTAGGTAAATAGTACAATTACTAAAAAGGAAAATGGATACTTTGTTATGGGACGGACTAAAATAAAATAAAAAAAGAAAAAATAGATACTTTGTTATGGGACGGAGGGAGTACTAAAAATCAATTTTACATTTAAAACATCACATCAACATCTATTTATATCACATCACACAACTATTCAAATTCGAAGTTTTTACTATTCAAATCTCAACTCAAAATCCAAAACGTCATACAAACACGCAAGAATATTCATAAATTCATGGACACAAACTAGTTGAATCTATTCATTTGCATTATTGATCTAATATTACATTTTTCATCAATAATACACATGAATATAACATTTTAATATGATAACAATTATTGAATCACATGCAAATTATGCAAAAATTAGAATATAAAACAATAGCTTTATTCAAATTATTGTCCTTGTGAGATTTTTTTGTGTAGATTTCCTCTTTATTTTTTTATTTTTGTTTAATAAGAATTGTTGTGCTTACTAAAATTATCTTCTTCTTTTTTTCGAAGAAAAGAAAATATATTAAAGATCAAATTAATTTCAAAAAGTATAAAACATACCCTATTTTAAAATAATTATCTTGAATGTATTAAGATTATGTTTAGATATATTTTTGGACATTTTTTTTTAACAATTGACAATAGTGTTGGCTTAAATTATTTTTATTTACATTCTTCAATATACTAAGCATATTCATTTATCTCATATATTAATTATTTATTTTATTATTTCAATTGCATCACAAAACCAGTGTACATCCTATCACAACCATTTCAATTATTTTTAACTTCAAAACATTTATTAAATATATCTAAATACATTTTCTAACTATACACCATTTGCAATTCAAAACAATTCAAAATTTAAAAAAAAAAAAAATCAAAAGTCAATATGATATTTGTAAAATAAAATATTGTATATTTATTGAAGATTGTTCGCATTAATAGTGTTAATTTATACTCCCTCCGTCTCATATCTATAAATTCATTTGCTTTTTGCACGGAGTTTTAGAAATATCAGTGAAAGAGTAGAAACAAAGGTAAAAAGACTAAATTAATCCTATTAGTATTGTATGATATAAAAGTAATAGCATTTGTGTAATATACTGTAAATTGGAAAGGTATTTGTGGATAGTACAATTACTAAAAAAAAGAAATAGATATTTTGTTATGGTACGGATCTAAATGAAAAATAGATAAATTGTTAAGGGACAGAGGGAGTATTTGATATACAAACCAAATATTTGAAAAATAATTTGACTTATATTTGAATTGAACTTGATTTTTAATATAGATTTGAGAAAGTATATGTTTCTTTAGGTTTGTAATTTTTTATTTTGGATTTTGTAGTTTCGATAAATATTGATGGGATAAGTAATAAATGTATTGATTCGATAGAATTTTGTATTTATTTGGGAGTATGAATTTTGTATTAGAATTTGGAATAGCTAATTTTTTTAATTAAAATAATTATTTATTTTAATATAAGTAAGTATTGATATGACATTTTGAATGTCAAATTAATTTTTAATATAATATAAAAATTAAAAAATAAATATTTAAATTGATTTTTATGAATGAGTCTTCGAAGGAATAGTATAAAATTTTCAAATTCCTCCAAAAACTAAGAATAAAATAAAATAGTAATTACAAATTATTTTGAAGTAGAAATATTTTTATTTTAGGGAAAATATTGTGAAGAAGTTGAATAAATTTTTTTGATATGTTTATTAAATAAAATAAAAATATCATTTACTGGTGCATTTTAATCATAATCCAATATAGTTTAGTTAGAACTTTATTAATTTTTATTTACTCCCTCCGCTCACTGGAAGGATGTCATTTGTTTTTTGCATGTAAATTTTTTAATATTAGTATTATATTGGATTGTAATGAAAAAGACAAAAATACCTCTATTAGTATGGTGTAATATAAAAGTAATGGCATTTATGCAATATATTGTAAGTTGAAAAGGTATTTATTATGTTAGGTATGCAGTACTTTACTAAATTAGGAAATTGTAACTTTCACGAAAATAAAAAATTGTAACCTTTCAATAGGACGGATGAAGTATATTTTTTGATTGCCTAGAAATCCGTAATTGACATTTTTCAAATGTATTCTAAATAAATTTTCGATCAAATCTAATAATTTGTAAATTAAGTCTACAAAAAAGTCAGCATTAGGCTAACCGTGATATTATTTGTAATTATATGAAAATAAAACGTTTCAAAACATATCTAAATTAAGCCTAAATTTCTTGATACTCTCTTATCAACTTAATAAGCATTTATATTGTCATTTTTTGTTATCTAAATATAAAATATTTATTCTTCAGTACATTCAAATTATACTATCGATTGCAATTATTTTAAATTTACATTTATTTATATTAATAATACTCTTTTAACGATCACATTTACATTTTGCATGATTGTATTTGACATTAAAAATATTTTTATATTTATATTTGTATAATTTTTTTTTTTTGTACAAACATCATTTTATTAGTATTATAAGCCACTGATGAAAGTATATTTGCATTTTTTTTTCTTAATGTGCACTAAATTTTAATATGAAAAATTAATATTCAAATATCAACAAGACAAAAATAAAATGTGAATATATAAAAAAAAAGTAAATACTTGAGAATATATAAGATTTGTGTTATTATAAATTTGAAATAATATTTTAATTCCAGTTTTATTTAAAGAGTATTTTTTTTTAATATAATTTTTATAAAATAAAATAATATATATATCGAAAGAATATATTCATATTTTAAAAAAATTTGTATGTATTATGGGATCCAAAACTACAGTTACAGATATCCTCAAGGACTGAAATGCAATATTGTAGAGAGTAGTTTTTGTCTGTGACGCAGAGGACAAATGCAAGCCGACAGCCAATCAGCGTTCAGCATAGATCCGTATATTTACGTTGGTACGTAACACTCCACTCACCTAACGGTCACTATAAAACTAATGAAGCGCTATTATATATATATATATATATATTAAAAGAAGACGGAAAGTAGTCCTTATATTTATAATATTTAAAAATATTTTAATATCTATTACTATTTGTATATAATAATATATTTATAGTAATATTTAAAATTTAGTTCTTTTTTTTGCAGTCTGCACCTTCACTGCTCTTTCGCCGTATCAGTATTTTCAGCCGTCTGTCTGTCTGTCTTTGATTCCTTCTCTGCCGTTCGCTTTTTCAGTGTGATGTTTCTGCGAATTATTCTCTGATTTTTGGTCTGGAGAGCTTCCATTGAGCTGAACTTTTTCCCGGAATTTGTTGAAAGGGTGGAAGGTTGAGTGTTGGTGGCGGTGGTTGAGGTTGGAGTGCAGTTTTCGGTGTTTGGTGCTGCCAATGCTGTTTTCTTCTCCTCTTTGATGTTCAATTGATTGTTTTGGAAGTGTTGGGGTATAATTTGTGTTGTTTCGTTGGACTTAGTGTTGCTTTGATCTGATTGGATCTAGCAGCGCGGACAACGCCATCGCTGCAGGGAGTGTTTAGTGAAGGAGGAAGGATGCAAGTGGAAGATCAGAGGAAGAAGGTTTATTCTTTTAGGCGTTTGCAGCTGTTTTTGTTGGAATTTTTGTTTTGGTTATGAATTTTATGGTTCTAGTGAAGAGATGAGCTGTTTCGGTTTTGGTTGGGAAGTTCTTGTTCATGAATATGCTCCATGGACACGTTTATTATGTTTCTGGAGCGCAAATCAGAAGAATTTTTCCTTTTTGGAGCTGAATTAATTAACTGGAATTTCTGCTTGTTTGAATGCTTTTTGACGGAAATTTCAGCTCTTCTTATTTTTTCATTATCATCTATGAACTGTTTGTGTGCTATGCGTTCAAACTCTGGAATTCCATATCTTGAATTTGCTCCTAAACGAGGAATTTCAGCCAGTAAATTTTTTGCTTTTGCTAAGTTTTTACCAAACAGTAGCTTGTTTTGTTGCTTTATGGGAGGTCCTTGTTGGCAGTAAGTGGATGGCTGCTATGCTTTAGATCTACAGTTGAATATGGATAATTGAAAATATCTTAATTGGGCGTTGAGCTTAAATATGTTTCACATTTTGTTTGATTTTTGTATCGAAGCAGGCTTCCTGATTCCCTTCAGTGTTGCATTACTGTGTGGATTCATCTTTCTTCTTCTTCTTCTTCTTCTTTTTTTTTTTTTTTTCTTTTTTATTATCATATGCTACAGTACTCTAATCTTCTTGCCATAGATTTTGAAATAAAATTCAAGATAGCTAATCATTTGATTTTTAAAAGTTGTGTTAGATCTGCTTTTGATGTTTATATAATTTCTGAGAAGTAATGCATATTGATTTTTAAAGTCTCACCTTGCTGTAATTACTTTGCAGGTCCCTATGGAGGCAGAATTTTTTAGTGGAGATTCCAACAGATACAAAATTCTGGAAATTATTGGAAAGGGTAGCTATGGAGTTGTGTGTGCTGCAATTGATACCCATACTGGTGAAAAAGTAGCAATAAAGAAAATAACAGATACTTTTGAACACATGTCTGATGCTATTCGGATTTTGCGAGAAGTGAAGTTGCTTCGCATTTTGCGTCATCCTGATATTGTGGAAATTAAGCGGATCATGTTGCCATCCTCTAGGCGGGACTTTAAGGATATCTATGTCGTATTCGAGCTTATGGAGTCTGACCTTCATCAAGTCATAAAAGCCAACGATGACTTGACGAACGAGCATCAAAGGTTTTTCCTTTATCAGATGCTTAGAGCACTGAAATATATGCATACAGGTAACTGAGATTAGTAATATCCTTCTGGCTATAACATTTTTTTTGAAAAGAAAATGAAACATTTTAGAAGTTGTCTGTTGAACATGATTAATCACCTTGTCCGTACTACATTCACCATGGTTTTGTTTCAGCTAATGTGTACCATCGGGATCTTAAACCAAAGAATATATTGGCAAATGCCAACTGCAAGCTCAAAATATGTGATTTTGGACTTGCACGAGTCGCATTTAATGACACCCCATCAACAATATTTTGGACGGTATGCGTGCGCTACATATTGCAGTTTAATAATTAGTTAAAGATCTTGTCGTTAGTCGCTAATTTCGTAACACTCTAGTTGTGAAAGTTGTATGTCACATCTTAAATGTGACTTTATCCAGTTCTATATCTAAACAAATTTTCTTAACTGTAGGATTATGTTGCAACAAGGTGGTACAGAGCTCCTGAGTTGTGTGGTTCTTTCTTCTCCAAGGTATACCATATTGTCCTTTATATCTTTTTATCTCTTCATCAAATTTGAACCCGCGAGAACCTGCTGAAGATTAATTCATTTGCATTACACTCCCTTAATTGACCTTACAATGATTCTCCGGGAAGTTGATCCTTAAGTTCTTCTGAGATAATTGTGTGTCACTTTTCTAGAGAGTTTTCAGGTTTACTCTTTTTTCTTTAACTATGTTTCACAACCTTTTTCTTGCAGTACACACCTGCTATTGATATATGGAGTATAGGCTGTATATTCGCGGAAGTCTTGACAGGAAAACCGTTGTTTCCGGGTAAAAGCATTGTGCATCAACTGGATTTGATTACTGATCTTCTTGGGACACCATCGGTGGATACAATTTCAGGAGTAAAGAAACCTCTTGCCCTTTTACCCTTTCCCTTTTTATGAACTATTCTTTCACTTGATATCCTCCTAAGATGTATGGTTTAATTATTATTCCTAAATATAGGTACGAAATGAGAAAGCAAGAAAATATTTAATGGACATGAAGAAGAAGTGTCCCATCCCTTTTGCCAAGAAATTCCCAAATGCAGATCCTCTAGCTCTCAAATTATTGCAAAGATTGTTGGCATTTGATCCCAAGGACAGACCAAGTGCTGACCAGGTTAGGACCATTTAATCACATAAATATGATCAAGCATTTGAAGTGATTTGTAAAACATAATATTGAATATATATTGGTAAATAGATCAATTTTTGAATTGATAACCAACTGCCTTAACTAACAAATAAACTTTATTATTCAGAGTTAAGTATTCAATATTTTAGTTCATTACTGGTCATTAGGCATTAGCTGATCCTTACTTCAAGGGGCTATCGAAACTTGAGAGGGAACCATCTTGTCAGCCAATCTCAAAGTTGGAATTCGAATTTGAGCGCCGGAGAGTGACCAAAGAAGACATCCGGGAATTAATATACCGGGAAATTCTAGAGTACCATCCTCAATTGTTGAAGGACTATGTCTCCGGAAATAGTGGCATTAGTTTTATCTATCCCAGGTTTCGAATTCGAACCTTTGCATGATTTTAACTATGAAATATTTTCCTTGTGTTGTCACATATATTGAAAAACTAAGTCCTTTTGTGTCTTGCACAGTGCTATTGGTCAGCTCAAAAAGCAATTTGGCCATCTTGAGGAAAACATCGGCAAAAGCGGCCCTGTGATTCCTCCGGACAGAAAGCACGTCTCTCTCCCAAGGTTAGATATTTTCTTCCTTCCATGGCAAGTCTGTACTAAAAAGTTATTTTCTGGTGGGGTTAAAGGTGTTCTTTTAACTTCTTTATCCTTTTCAGTACTATTAGATGATGTAAATGATCGTCTCACCTAAAAGGTTAAACTACGATCTAATGCTCTGATACCATGTTAGATGATCTAATGCTTTGATATCATGTTAGATGATGTACATGATCGTCTCACCTAAAAGGTTAAGCTACGACTTAATGCTCTGATATCATATTAGATGATGTAAATGACCGTCTCACCTAAAAGGTTAAACTACGACTTAATGCTCTAATACCATGTTAGATGATGTAAATGACCATCTCACCTAAAAGGTTAAGCTACGACCCTAATGCTCTGATACCATGTTAGATGATGTAAATGATAATTTCACCTAAAAGGTTAAATTACAACTTAATGATCTGATACTATGTTAGATGATGTAAATGACTATCTCACCTAAAAGTTGAAATTGTTAGGGATACGTATCATTTGTTTATTTATATACAATCGGAAGTCAACCAACAAGTATATAGACAAAATATCTGTACCTGCAGATGTAACATTCTGTTGTTGCGTTTAGATATATTTTAAGTGTTTGATGCGACATAAATAAGTATAGCTTGAATACATAATATATTTGTTACGTAAAGTATTTTAGATGGAAAATAGGTTTCGGAACTGATGTGTTTTTTAGCAAGATAATTTCCTACAAATAACACAAAAACGAGTTTGAAAATATAAGTGTTGTTTTTTTGGTATTTTTCATATTTGATCAACTATCTCATTTATCGTAGCAAAGATTCCTAATTTTCAATAGCCTCCCACTCTAAACTAATAAAAACCGATTGGGATTATATAATAGTTAATTAACGATTCATTTTCCTATCAAATTAAACTAAACGTGTAGGTTAAATGATCATTTAACATAGTATCAGAGCTTATTTTCTCGCCATTGCATTGTCTTCAAATTCAATCGACACGTTTTCTTTTCCTTTCCAATGCAGATCCACGGTGAACACTACAACGATTCCTCCACAAGCGCAGCTGTATATGTATTCATACGACAATCCAAAAATGGGGCGAGAGATGTCGACAGGAGCTATTACAGGAACTCTATCAAATGTCTCGAGAGCTCCTCCCCGGGCACCTAATGGTAAATCATTCATCGCGTCTTTTAGGAAGCGATACATCCAATCCAATCCAATCCAATCCAACGGTTCCTAATAACTCGTGTCTTGACTCCGTTCCTCTTATTAACTTCTCCGACACATGCAGCCAAGCTCGGCAAAGAAATGGGACCCGTCCTACCGTACGAAAACACCAAACCGGCGAAAATGGATGGACGGGGATACATCCAAAACGCGATCCTTCCACCTCACTCCAACTCTCCGCAATGCTTCTTCAGGCCCGACGCCGGGAAGATTCCAGAGAAACAGAGTCGAGAACGATCCAACCAATACATGACGAGCCACGACATGAACACCAATCCGTATCATCGACACCAGACAAGTGGAAAATCGACAGCCATGCTGAGTAACCAGATTGCTATCGATGCGAAGCTGTTGCAGGCTCAGTCGCAGCTCGTTGCTGCTCGCCGGGAGGTTGGGACCCTTCAGCTCGGACTTACTTAATGAAATGAAACGAAATGATATGATCGATGGCGACTCGACGCCCATGGCAAGAAAAAAGAAATCGATCATTCGATCGGTTGTGTTCAAGATAGCATTGTTAGGAGTGAATGCAATGATGTTTTGTGGATGGATCGATGTTGAGCGCTCTTAATAAGAATCAAGTTATGTCTTTGGTAAAGGTTCGAGGTGAGGTTCGGTTCGGGTCGGGTCGGGTGTAATGTAGCGTAGCATATACTCATTTTTAGTGAACTTGCAAATGATTAATATATATATATATATATATTCATGTCCTAACATATCAAATTACATATCAGAACAATGTTATAGCTCAATTGCAAAAATAAGAGCAGAAATTAAATATGTGTGTGTATTTTCTTATTATTTTTTATATGTTCCGCTAACTTTGAAAAAAGAAAAATATTAAAAAATATATTTAATATGATATTTTATAATAATAAAATATAATAAATATTTGGGGTGATATTTTTTAAAAATAATAGTACTTTCTTTTAATTTCAACTTAATATCTTTTTTCTTTATCAATTTTGTTATTATTAAAATATTTTAAATTTTTACTAGGGTATTTTTTTTTGCTTTATACGTCAAGAAAAATGCTTAAATGTTATTATTAAAATGTTTAAGTTTTTACAAAAATATTTTTTTGCTATCGATGCGAAGCTTTTGCAGGCTCAGTCGCAGCTCGTTGCTGCTCGCCGGGAGGTTGGGACCTTCAATGTTTTATTGAGAAGCAAAGTATTTAAGATAATTTTAATATTTTTTTATTTTGTATTTTATATATAAATAAATATATTATATATAATAATAATAATAATAATAATAAAATCAGATTGACAAAAATAATATAAATAAATAAATAAATAAAATTAGGAGATAGTATAGAAAAGAACACCAGATTACCAGGACTGCCAGTCCTCTGTATCGAAGAGCCAAAGAGAAAGAGAAATAGAAATTGGAGAGAAGATGCAGATGGCGCGGAAGAGACTGCAGCTGCTGTTGCTGCTCAAGCCCTTTGATATTTACCCTTCTCCCATTTCCTCTTCCTCCTCCTCCTCCTCCTCCGCTGCCAATCAGGTATATATATACCCATGGTTACCAAGAGGGATGGATGATCCACGCACGTCACCTGTTCGACCATATGCCTCACTCACACCATCGATCATTCTTATTGCTTAACTAACTGTTTAATATATCCCATTCAGGTTATGCATTCATCATCATCTTCTTCTTCTTCTTCTTCCTCACTGCAGGTGCTGACATACTTGCAGAACAGGACATCAGCCCACAAGCACGCCATCAACATCTGCCAGACTGTCTTAAACGCCAGGACTGCCGCCGGGCTCGTCCACTGGAAAGCTGATTTCCGCGGCCATGTCTCCGGCCCTATCCGTGGTGTCGACCTCGTGGTCACCATTGGAGGCGATGGCACGCTCTTGCAAGCCAGCCATTTGATGGACGACGACTCAATCCCCGTTCTAGGAGTCAATTCAGATCCCACTAGACCACACGAGGTTTCTTTTGATTCAGACAAGTCGACAATGATGAGGATGATCGTGATCATGTCCTTGTTTTATGCAGGTGGAGGAGCTGAACGACGAGTTCGACGCTACGAGGAGCACAGGCTATCTTTGTGCTGCCACTCCCGATACTTTCGAACAGGTAAAAAAATATCTCCGGGATTGTTTTCACAAGTACAAATTCTAAACTACACGGCTAATTAGCAAGCAACGAGAAAAAATATATATTACGAGAGCGATCGAGGTCTTAATGCTTCTACGTTTAACTTTTCAGTTTTGAAAAAAAAAAAAAAAGAACTGAATACAAAGTCCGATTATTGCTAGCAATTAGTATTGTAAAATTTTCTTACTTGTAGATACTAGACGGGATCCTCGAGAATCGTTGCAGACCATCGGAGCTAGCAAGGATGGCTGTCAGCATCAACTCAAACATGGTTCAAACTTCTGCTCTAAATGACATCCTTTTAGCGCATCCATGCCCGGCAGCAGTTTCTCGGTTCTCATTCAGGTAAGGAAATGAGTTACTCCTATTGTCCAAACAGATAATCCATTCGATAATAATCACACAGATACTTTTAATTCAGGGTAAAGAGAAATGGGGAGCCTCTCACCTCTTTAGTCCACTGTCGATCCAGCGGCCTCAGAGTCTCGACTGCTGCAGGATCAACGGCTGCGATGCACTCAGCCGGGGGATCTGCAATGCCTATTTTATCAAAAGAGCTTCAGTACATGGTGAGGGAGCCTATTTCTCAAATGCCTAATGCACACTTAATGCATGGATGGGTGAAGTCGAGCGAGACCATGAATATATCGTGGTTTTGTAGGGAGGGCATTCTGTATATCGATGGTTCTCATGTGGTTCACTCTGTGCAGCTCGGGGATACAATAGAACTATCTTCTAGGGCCCCGGCATTGAAAGTTTATTTGCCTCCCCACTTAGCGCATTCTGCGTAAGATTTTGTCTAATGCCCAAACATCGGCATAACCTAAAGTTCTCTCATTTTGGTTTAAGCTAAGACAACATAGAAACTCTCTGAGGGATGTCTGTGAAAGAGATTGTTCGGATGTCTTAATAACCTTATAACGTAAATATGCAATATTTCTCTGTGTGTTTTTTGATTCCTAATTGTGTCGATTCTGCCAACTTTATTACGTTTCATATAATCTTCGTGAATGGTGGTCATGAGCTAATCAAAGATCATCAGTATGAACACTAAGAAGAAAAATATATGAGGCTAGCATATATATAACTTTGGATAAAGAGTTTGCTAGAGAATCGATACTTACAATGTGGCTAGATGTATGACTGGAAGCCTCTGCTGTCTACAACCTGGGAAAAATAGAATGGTAAGATAATCCCTTAATGTAGAAGTTACTGATCGAATCATAGTTCTAACTGTTTCCGCCTTACGTGAACAGTGGAGGTCGACTGCGTGAGGGCTGAGGTCTCTTTATGGGCGAAAAGATTAGATTTCTTAGAGTCATTGAAGGATTATTGTTTCCTCCACCTCCATTGTTAATCCCAAAAGAAGGGCGAGCTGCTGGCATATGGTTCGAGGTGTCCATTGGAATTGCAGATGGTTTTCCAGGGGAGCTTCCGGGCATGTGGAATGCGAAGTTCGAATTTTTTTGCCTGTCTGGCCAGATGTCCTCATGCCCTGGAGTTGTCAAGATTGAGAAATGAGAACTAACAAATCTATGGTAATAACTATGCATATATATATGAAGTGAAACAATTGAAGAAAACAGGTTTACCTGCTCGAATGTCTCTGTTATCCATTCCTACGGCAGGATTCGAGAACAAGTCAGGTTCGGGCCTTGAAAAGAAATGGTCAGCCGGCTGAATTGCCATTCGCTTCAGTGAATCAATTTCATTTCGTGCTTGATCATACATTTCGTCAAGTTTTCTCTTTTGCCTGGCATGGATGAGTAAATGTTTACCTATGTGACAGAGATATACTAAGGTACTATAACACAGTGATTGACCTGCATTTTTCCGAAAGCTTTTCTTGCAGTTCTCGCTTATCTTTGGTTAAATTCTCCATTTCTTGCTCCATCATTTGGCACCTCTTCGCCATTTTCTGGTATGCGGTATAAACTTGCTCCAATTTTTCTGTGAACTTTGCTTGCATCGCCTCACATTTCTGGCGACACTGAGCTACTATCTTATTGATCTTAACTTGCATCTCTAAATCCCTTTGTCCAATGTAAAACATTACACTTCTTAATGCACTCTTCATTACTAAGAGGGTTTTAAGGATATCAAATATTTAGGTTGAAGAATTAGCTAGCTAAGAAGGAGAATTCCAAAGGGCAGAACACCACAGTGATAATTAAGGATACTTATCTGAGGAGATGTTCCTGCCATGGCCATCTGCAAGAGTTGGCATAATTATGTCATCATTACTGTTATAGAAAAAGATCTATACATTACATGAGGGCTTTCCTAGGAAGCTTACTTACATTAACCCATTCATCATTTGGATTGACATCCACTGGTCTCATGAGACTAACAAGAAAAACATTTGAGATGTCAAGAACAAGTGACAGTGTACAGCATCCCCAACTAAAAATCACATTCCAACTTGAGAAAGATGTAACTGAATGGGTAATGTGAGATGTTTTATGAGCTCTTTTATCAACCACACCTAGATATAAAATGATGCTCTTTCTCGTCATTCTAATAATTGGGCAATCATTAGCAATCTACCAGCAGGAGACAAAAACAAATATGTGATACCTTTTGGAGAGCACCTGATCGCAGATGGGACAAACACCATTGTTGCTGAGAATCTTGCTTGCATCTTCAGGGCCTTCAGACATGGTTAAGGAAACCTTGCAAAACTGAATTTGACAGGAATAGGATTTGAAAAATTAGCATCGTTCATATTGGATACACAAGAGGTGACCACAGGTAGTGGTAATGGCCCTTCCTTCCAATTCTTGCCAGCAGGCATTGCATCTCATTTCAATGTTCAGAGTAGAGTTTTATGTTTACTGTCCATTTTCTTGAAAAACTTGAACCCTGTGAGTCAAAAAAGTAGCACAGTGGTCACAGAATCTTGTAGATTGAAACGACTAGAAGCATGACAAGAGGACCTCTTGCATAACTTTTTTTCTCACTTTAGGAGATTGACAAGTACCCAAAGTGACCTTTCGAAAAATTTGCAGATCTTGAAAAAACACCTTCAAACATATTAAACCAATATTGAAATTTCGTACTAAGTTGTGAAGGTTCATTAACTACGCTGATCAATGGTGCTTTGATTCTCTAGGAGAGTGAACTTAGTTAAGATCCTTCTAATAATTTTCTTATAACATCAAGATCTTACCCAGGATCAAAAGTTGTCGAACAGTTGGGGCATTCTGCTGAGACAAGAATCAATACTTCTTCCCATTCCCATGACGAGAAAACCAAACAATAAAGGACTAACAGCTTAAAAATGCTCTCAAAATGTTCACAAAATTATTAACATACTTCTCATGTACCAAGCTCATCTCTGGAATTAACCACCGAAATGATGAATCAAATGACGATCAATATCAACAATTTTTTGGAAGTTAATCATGATGTTAACTAAAACGACAAAAGGTTGAAAAAAAAGAACAAACCTAAAGATCAACAAATCTCCAAAAGGAGCTCAAACTCCTGAAGAATTAAGTGGAATCAAAATGCTAAACTGAAAATTCTCCAAAACTTTCTGTTTACTCCGAAATTATCAATCCAGCAACATAACGAATCAAGGACGATCATCTCCGCAATTGTTCGAATATAAAAGAAAAAAACAAATCACGAAAACAGTTCAAAACCTCGATAAATACCATACCTAAATCGCCAGCATTTCAAAATGAAGTCAAATTACAGAAGACTCGAGTGGAATCGAACCATGCAAACGGAAAAACCGACACAACTCAAATCAGTATAAACTCCCAAAATCATCTAATTCGTTTGAAAATGAGGAAGAGATGCCGCATCAAAAGCCTTACAGTTGTCGAATCCCAACAATCCGGCGATAGCTACCGCAGTCCTGCAGCAGATGGCAACGCACAAAGCGATCGGAGAATTCAGATGCTAGTTTAGATCGGCTACGTCGGAATGGGAGGACCGGTGCACGTGGATTGGCTCGTCACTCACACACACACACACGGAATCATATTATATATACATATTTAATTCATTTTTTTACTTCATGTAGACATGTTAATGAACCTAATCTAACCCTAATTTTAAATGTTTGTGTTAGTTAATGAACAAAGTTCTTATTGGTTACTTGTCTGACAACTTAAAAAAGGCGTAAGAGTTTTTGGACCCAAAATATTACTCCCTCCCATCTATGGGTGTATTACCGTATACACGGAAATTTAGGTAAAGTATAATTAATAAGTAATTAAAAAATTGTATCAATAAAAATAATTATTATTTAGTAAAAATAATTATAGATTAAGATTAAGATAACTAAATAATTTAATTAAAATTAAAAAAATTTAAATTTTAAATTTTAAAATATGATTAAAGTGTATAATTAATTTTTAAAAAAAAATAAAATGACAAATTATGTTGTACGGACGAAAATAGAAAATACTCCCACAAATTATGTGAGACTAAGGGAGTAATATTTAAAAAGCTAATGCGTTTTGAAAGAATTTTTTACTTTAATTTTGTTTATCCGTTATTTATTTTTAAAAATTAATTATTTATTTCATTCATATAAATATATTTTTATTGCATTATTTATTAATTATTTTTAATATATTTAATTTATTAAATTATAATTTTATTTTTATAAATTTAAAATAATAATAATTATTAATTATTATATATAATCATTTTATTTATAAAATATATAAATCTATTAAAACTAAATCAAAATAAAAAAACAAATATTATTAATTTATTTATATATTTTTTATTATATAAATTTTACATTAAAAATTAATAAACAATAATTAACGTAATAGAAAAAATATATACTAAAAATTTATTACTTTATATTTTACATAATTTCAATAAAATATTAAAAAAAATTTCTCAAATCTAAAATATAAAATAAATATTTATAATAATTTTATAATTAATAACAAAAATTATCATAAATTGTATCAATATTTTTCATTGTTATTTTACCGTTTTTTGAATCCATACTTTATTGTCACATGTCCAACTTCTATGTCATGGGATTAAAATTAATTTTAATTTATGTTGTTAGCTACTACGATACTAAAAAAAATTAAATTTTCATATTCAAATCGATACGATTTAGTTGAGGAGTAATAATAATAATAATAATAATAATAAATTTTGCTCCAACATTAAAAAGACTATTGTGACTATGGAGTAATAATAGTTCATATAATGTGAGTTTGGCTTTAAATTATTTACTTCCCTCTAACAGAGCCTTGGCCATGGCAGCTTCCATGCCACTTCCCACTATTCTTTCCCCAAACCCGACGGCCTTTCTCCCCAAATTCCCAATTCCGTTACCCCAAACACTCACCCTCAAATCGACTTCCCTGATCACCCTCAAGAGATCGCTTCCTCAAATTCAAGCTTGCAGAAATGCCATTGCTCCAGCTTTCGTGCACCAGGCCATAAATTTGGTCCAATCCTCGCCCCCGACGTGGCAGTCCGCCGTCTTCAGCAATGCTGTGATATTTACGTTGGGATCCCCACTCCTCGCTCCTGGCCTATCTCTTCCCGGCGTCGCCGCTGCCTTCTTGCTCGGCACAATTACTTGGCGCGCTTTCGGCTCTCCCGGATTCATCCTCGTCGCCACGTATTTTCTCATTGTAGGATTAAAATTAGCCCTACCTTGACTCAATAACTATTTGAATGTGGAATTCTTTAATGGCGGTTTCAGAAGGGTGCGGGGGTTGGTAGTTATTGGATTTTAGAAATGGAAGCAGCTGTATACATTTGTTGTGATATGCAGAATTAGGGCAATTACTTGTTTAGGGTTTGGTATTTGGCTTGATTGAATTAGCTTGGTATTTAGGATTATTACAGAAACTTATTTGAACCTAAAAGCTTGGAGTTTATAGTCTTGTGGCTAATGCTGAGGTCAGATTCATGCCTGTAGCACCATGTTGAAAGCTTTGAGAGAGCCTACAGCCCCTGAGCTAAATCTTGATTAGCTGAAAATATCGCTTCAGGCACCCTGTTAGAAGTTCTGTGCTAGCATTAGATCTGAGTAGAAGCAGGACTGTGTTGGGCCTTTCTGGATTGTGTCTGGATGAGTTAGGGCTGTTCGTGATAGCTCTATCTACTTGTGTGTGAGCAAATAGGATGAATTAGGTTTCTTCGATTGTCTCCATGGTTTAGAGAGTGGCAACTTATCATTCATTGGTTAAATTTGATATATGTTAGTTGAACATGTTTTTGTATATTTTTTCTGTTCCTTTTGGCTAGTTAAGAATGTGAGATTTTCAAACAATTATTCCCAGGGCACAGCTGTTACGAAAGTGAAAATTGCTCAAAAGGAAGCTCAGGGGATTGCTGAGAAAAGGAAAGGAAGGAGAGGGCCGGGTAGTGTGATTGGATCCAGTGCTGCAGGTTGTATTTGTGCTCTCCTTTCTATCTATGGTATTGGCGGGGTGGTCTTTAATCGATCATGGGAACTTGGATTTGTTGCTAGTTTCTGCACTAAACTGAGCGATACTGTCTCAAGTGAGATAGGGAAGGCGTACGGCAAAACAACGTAAGTACTAATATTGTGCCTATATAAGTCTTGCTTGATTCCTTTTCAAATGATTCTTTAACAAACTAATAGTCTTTACCTGAATCTTCAATGTCTAAAAGCAAGATTAGTCTTTGGCTGGAAGATTAGAAATAAATGAAGAAATGGTTCATTCCCTTCACTACCGGCTTAAGCTTGTGGGTAAATTGGTCATTCAAAACAGTATCAATACTAGAGCAAGAGTTCAGCCTTTTGTTTAAATTTCCACTGACCTATTTTCGAGAAAGTGTTCCACTTGTAAGGTTTTATAGGCACGTAAAAAATAATGCATCTCCATTTAGCTTACATGTAGCTTAATTACCACCCATCTAGATGTAACCTGTGTATGGGAAATAAGTTGTATGCTATTTTGATTTTAGCTTTTTCTATGTTGCTGAAGTGTTGCTGATTTTCTAATTCTAGTTATCTAGTCACAACATTCAAGATAGTCCCAAGGGGGACTGAAGGGGCCGTTAGCGTCGAGGGAACTGTAGCTGGGCTTGCAGCTTCAATTTTTCTTGCCTATGTTGGTTATCTGATGGGCCTGGTGAGAAATTTCACTATGTTATTTCTAGGATCATTTCAGGAAGGTTATTTATCTATGATTTGTTCTACGCTGCTCGAAGCTTTTACTTATATGATTTCCTTAGGAGAAGAAGCCTGCAGGGATCAAAGACATGCTTGTTATGAAAATGAAAAAGCAGCTTGTAGTTTGATTTAAGTTGATGAATATAACAGAGTTAACATCACCTCATGAAAGTGCCTGAAACAACCATTTTGCATGCTATGTTGACATTGTTTTTCGGTCATGTAAACTTGCAACTAATGAAGATTTATGTCTGAGCAGATAGATGTGCCCAAAGCCATCATATGTGTTGTTGCTTCCCAGATTGCTAATCTTGGAGAGAGCATTATCGGTGCTGTACTTCAGGGCAAAGAAGGTTTCCAATGGGTTAGTCGTCATTGCTTTAGCAAACACTTACGCAATATTCGAATTTTCTAAATTTATTTGATTGGTAATTCTGAGGCCTGAGGATGCTTTTTCTACTCTTGGTTCACATAATAACAATGAAATAGAATTTGCTCAGTTCCCTCTCCATCTAAGGTGGACTTATAACCTGGCCTCCTAATCCTAAAAATAAATAAATCAAATAATTATTGGATGATCATCTTTGTTTTTCATCTTGGTAAAGTTGCTAACAAGTGATAATCTTACTACGAACAAAAGAGATACTCCCTTTGTTATTGGAATGTATGCTCAAACATTTAGGCACGGATTTTAATGAGAACGATAATACTTGGTACTTTTTGCCATTTCTAAGTAACAAAAAATATAGAGGATAATATAATTTTTTACTAAAAAGATAAACAAAAATATTTTTACTACAATTCCAAAAAAGAAGTGAATATAGATTTGAATACCAAATGGGATAACAAACAAGCATTAAGCATCTACTAATGCAAATATGTATGAATAAGATTTCAAATTCAAGTTGGAAGCCATTAACTAACTTGAACAGGTCTGACCTGCTGAGTTTCAAGCAGGTAGGTTGATTTTGTTAAAAAAACTATGTGGTTAGGTTTTTATGTTTTGGCAAAGATGCACCTTTGGCATCCGTATATGATTTCAGATTGAAGCAGTTGTATGTGCTCGATACATGCATTCACATTAAAGCAGCTGCACATGTTCCACTTTTTTTTGTGTGTTTGATCCGTGTCTCAAACCTCAATTTCTGCATTGTTTTTTCAGCTTAACAATGATGCTGTCAATGTAATCAACATATCTCTGGGCTCGATCTTGGCAATCCTCATGCAGCAACTATTTCTCCTCCGTAGCTAGTGAACATCACAACCCATATATTCCCATGCCTAATCCAGAAAATTAATCATGTCCAAGAAGCAGTATGGTCCCAATCTGGCTGATGGATCAAAAGGCCATAACTTTATATGATCTAGACGAATGGACATAAATGGTGAAACGTTTGGCTGCAATGCTCAGGTTTGCCCATTTTCTTCAATTTTACCAGATGTGCCTCCATTTATGTCTCTTGAGTAGAGTAGGGCTATGGTGTTTTGAATCTTCTGCATTGGCCATTCCTGTGATCGTAATTATATAATTTGTTCATGTAACCATCTAATCATACTGTTTAAGGGAAAATGGGAATGTTGGGGAGGCCGTTGGTGTCAGTTATATACCTTTCTAGTGATATATATGTTCATTGGTTGTGTCTGCTATAAATATTTTTCTCAAGGAATTTAGTGCCATCCGTGATCTCCCAAGATCCGGACACACTATTTTCCTCGAGAGTTTGAGTGTATTCTTTTGGTACTATTTTTTTTTTCACTTTTTGTGCGTGCATTTTGGTTTCCTCGATGTTGATCTTATGATTTTGTGAATCTGAATTATGTTAGGATCACCAACTCTAGAGGTGTTGCAATATTTTAAAACTAGTGTTGAGACAGTTCAATCAAAATTAAACTTTTCGATCTTAGTAGTTTTCAATGTGTGAATTTTGATATGAATTGTTGGCTAACAGTTCAATCAATTGGTCTTTTGTTTTTTTTCTGGTGCAGTTATGATGATTTGGAGGTTCAGACAGAGTAGAGTAGCTGTCTTTTGTAAGATAAAACATAACTCTTGTGGTATTTTGTAAGATTTATCTTAGAGGGTAGTTTGTTTGTTTGTTTGTTTGGATTTTGTCTTGAGATTTGAATAGTAAAAAAATTTGAATTCAAATAGTTGTATAATATGTATATAGATAGGTGCTGCGGTAAAATTGATTTTTAGTATAATATAAAATTAAATAAATACACAACTGTAGTGTTTATGATTTGTTCATTTTTGGTGCTATGTGGTGATATAGTAAAATTTTGGTAAAATTTTGTATAAAAGTGGGTGTGTTCTTTTAACAAAAATGAATAAATACACAACTGTAGTGTAGTGTTTATGATTTGTTCATTTTTTGTTTAAAAGTATTTTGGAGTATTGTAATTTTGTTTGAGTAAGTAATTTTTATTATTTAAAAAAATATATATATAAAATAAAATAATATATTTTCACTGGAAAAATTATAATGGAGAAATTTCAAAAGCACTCAAATTAGAGGATCGTGGAATTATCATAAGAAATAATTTTTATGTTTTTTTTATTATATATATTATTTTTTATCATAACTTTTTGGGAATAATCTACATTAAAAATATAAAAACAAATTGTAAATTTAGGAATTTTTTTTTTTTTTTTTCTGTTATCCAATCTCATAATCTTTGTTAAAATCATTAGGGAAAAAATTAGTTTTAATTCCATGAAAAATTAAATAAATCAATTTTAGTCGTAAATATTTATATTTGCACAAGAATTCATCCTCAAGAACGCTCTTGTTCCGGTAACGGTAAGATAATTAGTTTCTTAAGGATGGGGCCAAAATTAATTAATAAAATTTTGATGACTTGAACTAAAATTGATTTTAAATTGGACCAAAGTTGATTCTTTTTCCAGATGTATTATGTGTTTATTTGTTTGTTTTTTACATCTAGATTATATAGTACAAAATAGTTTAAAGTGGTACATATAACTTGCTCTTTTTGTTCTCTCAATTTATTCTCATTTTTTTTCAATTAAATTTATTTTATTACTATATTTGAAAAAATCAAAAAGTCATCCAAAAAAAATAAATCACTATTTAATTATTACTTTTCATTGGACACTTATTTACAATAAATACTACTAACTTTATTATATTATCTCTTTATTCGCTTTAATTATTAATTAAATTTTCAAAAATATTATCAACTATTTTTTTATTTTTTCTACTTTTTTAATAAAATACTCCCCAAATATCTATTTCTGTTTTTAGTAACTGTATATCTACTTAATATTACAAATACTCTTACAACTTACAATATATTACACAAATATCATTACTTTTATATCACACAATACTAATAAGGTTATTTTAGTTATTTCTACTTTATTCCTACTATATCTCAATATAATATTAATATTTCTAAAATTACGTGCAAAAAACAAAAAGATACATAGTTATGGGACGGATGGAGTATTCATTTTATTTAATCTGGCGTGTCGAACCCAAATGGGCTAATTTTCCCGGATATAGGGAGTATTAGTATATGGTTTGGTTCGAATGATTAAAAGGTATTTGTATTGATTATTACTCTCTCATCGTTCTACTTAATTTGTTTTGCTTAGGTACGGAGTTTTAGATATGATATAATTAATAATTAATGAAAAAAATGTATTAGTAAAAATAATTATGATTTAATAAAAATAATTATAGATTAAAATGATTAAATAATTTAATTAAAATAAAAATTTGATAAATTATAAATTTTAAAATGTGACTAAAATGTATAATTATATTTTCAAAAAAATTGACAAATTATATAGGGACAAACGAAAATAAAGAGAGTGAACAAATTAAGTGGGACGAATGGAGTAAAATATATTGTTAGTGTAATTTAAAAAGTATAATAGTGTGTGTTTGTTTTATGAGAGATTATATAGAATATATAAAAATAACAATTATGTATGATATATTAATTTTTTTGGAAAAATATCTCTATGTTTTGTTAAAAAAGAACACACCTATAGTATTTATATATACTTTTAATGTTTAATTGTGGTGTACAAGTTATTGTTATATATTATGTTAAGATATGTATGTTGTTTATTTATACTTCAACTCATCGTCATACCAACTATTCTCACCGTCATTTATATTTATGCTCATTTCATCGAGCACGATTTTAAAAAAAATAAATAAATAAATAAAAATAAAAATCATTTTCTTTGACAATATAAAAAAAAAAAAATTAAAAACCTTTTACAAAATAATAATAATAATTTAATTAGAAGTTTTTTCACCTTATGTTTGTAAGTTACTATGGTATTAAATTCATTATTTTCAAATTTTCATGTTTCCTCTGTTCCAACAAATCACTACAACATATGGGGAGTTTGAAGGAATAATTACAACCACTTCTTAAAAATAAAAATGGCAACACAAATCACAATACACCTAACAAGAACAGCCAACTTATCCAAATTTAGTTTATCCTTGATCTTTTTCAATAATTTATCCAATTATCTCCTATTTTATATTATATTTTTTGTTAATTTAAGTTTAATTTCGTGTTAATTTATAGTTCCAAAAAATTTTAGCTTAAATGTATTGAAATCATCGGTCTAAGCTCGACGCCGTGCCGACTTTACCACTTGAGCCGCCCCCAACTCGATGACGGACAAACTCTATAAATACTTTCGGAACCCACGTCAACGAAATTGACAAACGGTCTAGTATCATCCAAATTTCAAATTTTAAACTCCAGAAGGAGAGGGAGGGAGAGAGAGAGAATGAAAAAGAATAAGAAAAGCAAGCTTCATATTACAAGAAGATGATTTATGAACAAACTACAGTGACCACTAGTCACTGCAAACACAAAAACACACACATCCAATTCCCAACCACATTCACTAACCATAATGAGATTACATCATTTTCTCTCTCTCTCTCTCTCTCTCTCTCTCTCTATATATATATATATATATATGTATGTATATTAAGCTTACACTGTGATACTTGGCCCATTTAGAGGGTTGCCGGTCAGCAGTGCCGCCGCGTAGAGGCGCGCCCTGTGGAATGGTGGTGGTGACCGAGGTTCTGCAACCGCGGAGAGACTACTACATCGGGCACGAACACGGGAGAGTGTGATGGAATCTGAGAATCTTTGGGCCAGTAAAGTCCAGATGCTGTTGTTGGCGGGGACTGAATCTGCGGGACCACCCAGAATGAATCCGGGACCTGTCCAAAACAATCATCGCCCTCCAATTCTGCATCAGCCACTTGCAGGAGCTGAGATGACTCCGACTCTCCGACAAGCTTTCCGCTGTCACCCTGATGATCAAAAGCAGGACTTCCTTTAGGGTTAATAGAAAAATTGTTGAAAAAGAAGTGAGAAAGGATTCATGCACATAGGCAGGCACAGGAATAGAATAAATTCGTCGTCCTTGCTTTCAATTATTCAGAAACTATTCATCAATAGCAACCTTTTTCCAATCAAAATATATACCATCGAATAGTTATTTCCTATCACATAAAACATTTCATCAAATACGTAACCTTTTACTATATTTAAAACTTCAAATACCTCTATGAAAACGGAACATGTAAAACACCAAGAGATAAAATCACCAAGAGATAATATCGAATCAAGGATGTGTATGTATCTTTGCTTTGCAATTCAAACTCACATATCACGTAAATTCGACTTTTAGCCTCACAGGAACTGTGTTCATATTGATCCGATTATAAAGCAAACTATAATTTGTCGCATGATTTGAAGCTCATTGAAATAATTGATTACCTTCTAGTAGTTCTTCTTTTTTGAGTTTTGCTCAGTTTTTTTATCATGCATTATCACCATTCCCAGTAAAAGCATACACATTTCGATATAAAATATCATATCCAACTATTGTTTCAAATAAACAACAATAAAACTCAAAACATCCAAATCACAAAAAAAAAAACACATTGCAACTAAAATGATTATTAATAATAAACTATTATTGCTATTGATTTTGAATTTACGGCCCAAATAAAGATTGTAGACCTAAAAAAATATCCCTTCTTGCTAAGCTAAAGATATAAATTAACTGCAGAAAACACAGAGAAATAACAAACAAATGAACAGACATTCAAGTACATCTACTTCACTTGGATGATAAGATCGAAAGAAGAAAATCAAACTTACCAACATAATTGACACCAACCACCATGCCTGCTTTTGAGATATATATATATATATATATACACCTCAGAACATGAAGAAATACACAAAATGGAAAAGATACCTTTGATGAGCTGGTATCCAAGAAAGTCAAGGACTGGCCAAAATCACCAAGACTGAGATAATCGTCTAACTGCCACTGCGACATACTCCCGGCAGGAGAAGCCCCGTTAAAGGGCACCTTCGATGATGAAAAATCTTCTACTGTGCTACGTTGGGACAGTAAGCTCCTACCATGCTCGACAGTTGGTAATGCAGCGGAGGATTTCTTCGAAAGAGAGTGACTATCAGGGATTTTATCAGTAGTTTGCGGGGAATGCACTTTTGCCGACAACGGAGCAGAGACTGTAGCTTCCAGGCCTACTTTAACCCCGGTGAGTAGGAACCTCTGATGAACTGAAACCAAGGAATTCACTGTGTGTATTGCAACATCACATTTCCGGCATAGCAATGCACGGTCCTCCAGACAAAAGAAATACCCAACCGTTTCCTGCACGCATTACAATATACATGAGAGGCTACTTATCCATCGAAACACCAAGTCCTTTCTGATCAATGCATATAAGCAAAACCTATGTTGGACACAGACAAATTGGATAGGATACTTCCATGATGAGGATCTAAAAGGCCCTTTAGCTTAATAGAATCCCTTACTAAGACCACAAAATATATATGAAAGACAAAAGGTGCTGATTCCAAAAGCTTCTTTTTTTAAACTTTTAGCTACAATTAGAATAAAAAAAGCTAAACTATAGAACATACAAAAAGCAGTCGAGTCAAAATCACAAAATTGTTGACCATAATGTTTCGAGTGTTCGAATATCTAGTGTGTTTGGTTGTGTTTTGGGCATGAAAATATTTTTAAAAATAAAAAATAAGTTCTAGAGATGATTTTGAATGAAAAATAGTATATGCCTTTTAGGACCAAAACACTCCACTATACACAGCTAGAATTTTGGGTTTGAGTTTGATTTTGGTAGCAAAATTGCGATTTTCTTTTTTTCTTTTAATAACAGAAGCCCTAGTGTTTCTATTAAGCAATTGTCTACAGTGACCACTAACCAAAATCATAAAAAGGAACCGTGGAAGTTGATTCAAGTTACATATAGGAAATGATTTTCAATTCCTTAGCCACATTTTTTGACAATGAACAAATGAAATTAAACACACAAAATGTGAACTGAATGAAATTCAGCATCAATTACGACCATGTTTAATTGGAATCATCACATGATTGTTTATTTGCACCCAAATTATCATTGCTTACAGTCAGCCAAATGAATGATGTTTTCTTTTTCTTTTTTTTTTTTTTTTTGGTCTGATTTCACTTAGAATCTATACAGAAGTAAACCGATAATATCATCCACAAATTACAGACAGATACAAATAGAGAGTTCGGAAAAAAAAAAAAAAAAAAAAAAGTCCATCAGCAAAGCAGTACAAAATTTCACAAATAACAATCTATTTCAATTATCCAATTCTGAAGAACATATGCGTGTGTGTATCAAATACAAAAAATGTAACAAGAGGAAGAGATGAATGAACATAAACCTGGCATATATCACACTTAGGCATCTGGGCGGACGAGGTAGAGAGCGGAACCCTCTGGTGCTTACTGGCGAGCTTATTGGCGGCGTGCACTTTCTGGTCACATATCCAGCAGAGCGCCGCCTCGTCGGCGCAGCAGAGGACGTTCGCCTCCGCCGCCTCACAGACGTTACACTGAATCTTCATCGGAGCCACAAATTGCCGCCGTTAGAACGCCAATTCCCACTCTCAGTCACTCGAATCCTAATCCCGAACCGAAGGCAGGCTTACGCCCGGAGATCTGTGAAGAAGGACAATGGTGGGGTTGCAGTGAATGGAGGAGCAAAAGGGAAGAACCCAAGTGGTGGTTTAACGAATGCGGATTGATTCTATGAGGGGATTTTTAATTCCTTTTTTTATTTTTGGTTTAAAAATAAAAATAGGCTTTTTTATGGGGACTTTAAATTTTATTTGTTTAATGAAAGGCGCCTGACACGTGTCGTGCGCGTGAAGCACGGTGGGTGTGAGGATACAGTCGACGTGGCACATAATATCTTCACCCTGAAGAATTCTCATTTTTGCTACTCTCTCTTCCAATACGATAGTATGTTTGCGTCTAAAACAATAGTCTTATTTTCATAAATAATTATATCACCTTAAAATTATTCATATTTTTTTATACAGTTGTCACTATTTTTTATATTAAAAAATTTATTTATTTTTATTTTTTATCAACTATTAATATAATATTAATATTTTTTAATTATCGTATCCAACACAATAAAACTATATTTTGGACAGAAAAATAACTATTTTTCATTTTTAATTTAACCTTGGGATTGAAAAGATCTTGCAAACTCACACTCGACTCGATTTCCCAATCGGATTCGATTAGTTGAAATAAAATTTGTACTTAAAATAATAATAATAAATTAATAATGTAACATTTGTTATTAGGGTTTAGGGTTTCGCTTATGGGTGAGCAAAATATTCGAAATTCAAAAATTTAATTCCAATTAAATCGAAATATAAAATTTAGTTTGGATTTTTAGAATTTTCGAATTGGATCGGATTGAATTTTTAACAAATTTCGGATTTTCGGATCGAATCGGATCGGTATACTTAAAATCCGAACCAATTCAAAATCCGAAATATAATATTTTAATATATTTTTTAATTATACATATTTTATATTTTATTAAAAAAATATTATATTTTAATATAAAAAACTCAAATATATTAATTATATTTTAATATATTTAATTTTATATATTATATATATTTAATATTATAAAATAATAATAAATTAAAAATTAAAAAATTAAAAAAAATAATAAAAATATTTAGAATTTCGGATTTTTCGGTTTGATTCAGATTTTTTAGTTCGGATTACGGATTTTCGGATTTCTGTTATTTCGGTTTGATTCGAATTGATTTTTTTCAAAAATTTCGGATTTTTGAATCGGTTCAAAATTGACGAAATTCGAACCGAAGATCCGAATGCTCACACCTAATTTCACTTGAGAGAACCCATCTTATTCACTGGACTACAAAGTTCGGGTTAGTAGTACTGATTTTTTGGGCTGTAGTTTTTTTAAAAAATTTTGATTCGTCGTAACAAAGTATTTATTTATTTTTAATAATTATATTATCTTTTTAGTATTATAAATTATATTACACAAATATTATTATCTTTATATTATACAATACTAGTAAAATTATATTACACAAATGTTATTATCTTTATATTATACAATACTAGTAAAATTATATTATACAAATGTTATTATCTTTATATCATACAATACTAGTAAAATTAATTTAGTTTTTTATTTTTATTTATACTACATTCTAACATAATACTACTATTTTTAAAATTTCATATAAAAAACAATTGATAAATAGATGTGCGGCGGATGGTTTATACAAATATTATTAGCAAGAAACTCGTGCTACGCATGGGGCAATCAACAACAAAAAATAAAATTACAGTGTTAATATAATATTCTCTTCATTCCATTAAAATGTTGTTATTTTTTATTTTCGTTCGTCTCAAAATAAGGTTATTATTTCATAATTTAGTAATTCTGCTACCTACCTAATACAATAAATATCCTTCCAACTTACATTATATTACACAAATGTCATTACTTTTATATTATACAATACTAATAGGCGTATTTTCGTCTTTTTTACTACAACTCATTATAATATTAATATTAAAAAATCTACGTGCAAAAAGTAAACGACAATCTTGCACTGGAAGAGAGGGAGTAATATTTTTATATGTCCGCCTCTAAAGGTCACATTTACCTTTTGCGTCATTATATTTAACATTATAAATATTATTATATTTATATAATTTTTTTGTATAAATGTCATTTTATATTAAATTAGATTAACAAAAAAATTATGAATCCATATTTTTGTAATAGTCCATCAAAATTTACAATCAACTAAAATTAGGGGAAAAAAAAGTTAAATTGTCAGAAGCAATCTAACTTTGTAATATTCAATCAAAATTTACACTCAGATAAAATTTTCGTCCCAGATACCGTATCTGCTATACTGTAGACACGGTATTTTAGGAGGAGTATAATTAGTAGATAATTAAGAATGTATTAGTGAAAATAATTATCCTATAATATAAATAATTATAAATTAAGATTAAGATAACTAATTAGTTTAATTAAAATTTAAAATGAAATTAAAGTGTGTAATCATTTTCCAAAAAAGAAAAATGACATAGTATATGAGACGGACAAAAATGACAATATGGACATATTATTTGGGACGGAGGGAATATTTTCGTAGTAGACAATCAAATATTAAGATCAATTATAGTAAAAGTTCATACTACATCCGTTTCAACTTTAGTCCCCTTAAATGTATATTTTTAACTTTTATATACAAAGTCATTTTACATGTTTCTAGTTATCAATAACTAATACTTTATCCGTCTGTTTCAAGGATCATATTTACGTTTTGCATCATTGTACTTAACATTAAAAAATATTTTTATATTTATATAATTTTTTGGATAAATATTTTTTTATTAGTATTATAAGACATTAATGAAAATATTTTTGTAATTTTTTTAATTTGTATTACATTTTGATATAATAATTAATATTCAAATATAAACACGCAAAAAATAAATAAGACACTTAGAACCTGACGGAAGTAGTATTTTCTAGTCCCGTAAGGAATTACTTAGTGGTGTGGGAGTAAACTTATGACCATGAGATTATGGGTTCAAACCCTCGACGCCTCAGGTTCAAACCCTCGACGCCTCAGGACATCTGCCAACAAGAAATAATAATAACTTATATTTTTTATTTATAAATTTACTTTAAAATCAAAAGTACATTCATTTGCATTTATAAAAATTTTGAAATTTTGAAATTATTAAAAAAATATTTAAGGTTTTACTTCTTCGTTCTTATCAATTCACATGTTTACATTTTTATGTTTAGTGAATTATATTAATTTAAATATATTTAATTTATATAAATCAAATTATTTAATTTTATAATATATAATATTATCAGGCCTCAGAGGTAATCTGCTTTTGACCTTTCGGTGGCTGAGAAGGTATTCTCTTTTTTTTTCTTTCTAAAATTAATAAATTACATATATTATTTTTATTTTAAAAATATTAATAAAATCATTCAAATAAAAAAATGCTAATATTATAATTTATTATTATTATTAATTCATTAAAATTTATTATGTTAAATATAACGTCATTAATCAAATGTATCAATTGAAATGACCAATGAGACTGGAGAAATACTTTATATTTTTTTTATGAAGATTAATATAACATTATTTATATAAATAAATTAAATTTAAAAATATCTGTAATATATAATAATAATTTCTCCATTTTACTCATCAATTGTAATTTTATAGATTGATAAAAAAATAATAGTATTTTATTAATTATTTGAAATTTTGTAGCATAATAAAATAATAATAATATTTTATTGGTTATTCTATATGGTGATTTGGAATTTTGTAGCATAATAAGAAATAATATTATTTTATTAATTACTTCAATTGACCATTTGAAATTTTATAGCTAAATAAGAAATAATAATCCCTCATTCCGCCACATATGATCTATTTTCTTTTTTAATACGTCCCACAAAAGATGATTCTTTTCATTTTTTGTAACTTTATCAATCTTAAACATACTTAACAAATATAAATCAATTTAATTAAATGTCTAATATCTTATCCGTGGGACTTACTCAACACCTCTTTATTTCTATTTCACTCCTCAATTAACATAATTTTTTTTTATCTATATTTAAAACTCATCATTTTTTATAAAACTAATTTATGGTAATGAAAAATAAAAAAATATTATATAAAATTTTATTATCTACAAAATGATATCTATATTGCATATATTTTTTCGAGATATAATTTTAAAATTTTTTAAAATATCAATAATATATAAAAAATAATAAACTAATATCATAACTTATTATTAATAACTTACTAATTTACACTGTTTAAAAAACTGTATCTCTAATAAAAAGGTTCATCTGTCGTGAAACAGAGGGAGTAGTATTTTATTGATTAACTGACTTATGTAAGATATTATGATATTTTTCTCCTTTAAATATCATTAGACACATATATATATATAAATTAATTATATTTGTAGTGATATTTTTATGATTTAGGTAAAAATTCAAGTGTATTTGAATATTAGTATATGATTACAAAATAGGAAATGAATACTGAAACAAATGAAAATAATAAAAATGGTAGTTTAAGTTGGAACGGCACTACCAGAATCATAGCATTTGCCTCGGAAAAAACTTCTTAATTAATTCTCATACTACTAAAAAATAATACAAATAATAGAATTAAATTAATTTTATTTTAATAGTTTAAGAAATTTCAAGACTATTTTATATAAGATCATTTAATTTAATAGTTTCGAAAATTTTGAGGCTATCTTTTATATAATGATTTTTATTTAAATAGAAGTCTCGAGGCCATTCCGTTGCTATATGTTTCAAATATTCCGAGACTATTGAACATAGCCTCCAAATTTTCGAAGCTTTATTATATATATATATATATTATATTCTTTTAATAAAAAAGATTTGAGGGTTTGTTTGTTTAGAGTTTTAGCTTGAAATTTTATTTTTTTTTTTTTTATTTTTATGTGAGATATGAAAATTTAATTTGTTAATATAAAGAATAATATTTTTTGTGTTGAACGTTGATTTGTGAGAGAATAAAATATATATTATATATATATATATGTGGTGACAAGGGGCGGCAGCGGAGCAATGGTGTCGTTCTGATTGTATTATTACTTTTTTAAAGAAAATTTAATAATTACTTTAGAAATTTCGAAATTATTTTCAATAGTTTCGAAAAAATTCCGAAACTATTTAAATGGTTTTGGAATTTCTAGACTCTACAAAACAGCCCCGAGTTGTGGCATCTGTACCAATTTGAGTCAAATTCTGATGCTGATTAAAAATAGCTTAAAATTCAAAGTAATTTTTGGATACTAATGCTTTTTTTTTTTTTTTTTTTAAATAGTGCGAAAGGAGTACTATTTATATTAAAATAATATTTTATATTTGGACGATTGAAAGTAGCAAAATCAACATTTACGGAATAGATAAGTAGTCCATCAAATTATCTCAGATATTACTGTTTTGTTTACTTATAAAATTTTACCTTTAATTTTATTATTTTAAATTTTTTTTTCTCTAAAAATATCAAATCATACATTCAAATTTTATTTATTTTATGACATTAAAATCTAATTTTGTATTCAAAATACTACTCAAATTATTATTTTAATTTAAAATTTTATTATTGAAAATCAAAACTCAAAACCAAAAACTCATAAGTAAACACACCTTATGTTGTTAAATAAAGAAATATTTCACCCGTTAAAACTAATTATGTAACTTTATTTCGGTATGAAATTAAAAAATAGGAAAAAAAATCATTTTTGTCATAATATAATCAAAATTCATAAATTTTGGTCTCATTAATTTTGGTTCCAATATAATCAAAATTCATCATTTTTTGTCCAAATATAACCAAAAACTCATATTTTTTGTCCTAATATAATTTTTTTTATTTTATCAATTTTTGGCCAAATATAACCAAAATTAATCATTTTTTTGTCTCAATATAATGAAACTTTATTTTTTTGGTCCAACCGTCAACAAGCCGACGGAAAATGCTGACGTAGACTTGCAAGATTGTGCAATTTTTTCAAATATAAATATAAAGTTTGATTTCTTTTCACGTCACATTTTTCGTGGGTTTGTTGACGGTGGGACAAAAAAAGAAAAAGTTTAAATATATTTGGACCAAAAATGATGAGTTTTGGTTATATTTGGACCAAAATTGATAAAAATTTTATATTTGGACCAAAATTGATGAGTTTTGGTTATATTGAGACCAAAATTGATAAAATTTTTATATTGAGACAAAAAATGATGAATTTTGGTTATATTGAGACTAAAATTGATAAAATTTTTATATCGAAATTAAAATTGATAAATTTTGTTTATATTGAGAGTAAGAATAATTTTTTTCCTAAAAAATAATAGTAATATTTTAATATAAAAGTAGAGTGGGTAAAAAATAAAATAAAAACATTATAGGAAAGCTATTAAAAAATTAATAAATATGAATGTGATAAGTATAAAAGGTAACGACAAGTTATTTATTACTTGTTAAAGTAAATATGATAAAATTATTAATAATAAAGTTATTTAATATAAATAAATTGTACATAATAGACAACTAAATTAAAAAATAACATAATTATAGCAAATGGATGAAGTATTAGATATTTTAGGGGAGTGTTTGTTTGGAGGATTGGTTTAGACATTTTATTTTTTTTTTCCTGAAAAAACATCAAATCAAACACCTATTTTTTATTTTTATATTATACTAAAAATTAATTTACATTCAAAATATCACATCAACACCTATTTATATCACATCATACAACTATTCAAATTCAAAATTTTTACTATTCAAATCTCAATTCAAAATCCAAACCCCCCGAACAAAGACAATGTGATTCAAAATATTGGATATCACTTGAATATTATTTTTATTTTGAGTTTTTTTTTTTTTTTTTTTCATAAATAGGATTGTTTTGTGCATATATGATAACATATTCCAATTGTACAATATCATTAAATGTTATTTATTATTATTATTATTATTATTATTAGAATAAATTGCATAATATTTTTTTTTTATTTCAAGTGTAAATATACAATATTTTATATTTTATTTATCGCATAAAAAATTGTATTAAATTAAAATATACATAAAATATTTTATTCTTTTAAAACTTGTTTAATTATAAACACACATCTAATGATATAAATTTTATATAAATAAATAAATAATGGAATAAGCCTTCATTTTATAATTTTTATGTTTGTAAAAATGAGATAACAATTCATTAAAATATATTAAATAAATAATTAATAAATTATTTAGTTGTTTATTTTTTTAAAAAAATATTATTTACGATATTTTATTTGTACAAAACTTTAATTAAATAGTGCATTTACAATCAAATAGTATTAATTTGTACAAAGAGTTGTGTTTTATACATAATTTAATTAAATAAAAAAATCACAAAATAAATAAAATATTGGTTAATTTTTACATTTTTATTAAAAATTATGTGTATTTGTTTAATAAAATGATTTAAAATAATTTTTTATATATAAAATATAAGAAATTAAGATAATATATTATTTCTTTTAAAAAATAAATAGAATACACCCAGGAACTATATAATTTACTTTATTTAGTTATTTTTATTAAAGATGTTTTTATTACATCACACCACGTAAGAGCGAGATATCCACCTATTCCTATTTCTTATACGGATAATAATGAAATTCAAAAGTAGCGATTTTAGAGTATTCTTGGCAGAAAGCGTGTTTCTCTAAACCCCTAAACCCTCAATGCGCGATCCTCCAATGGCGGAAGCTGAGCAGCATTTCCTCCTCTCCTCAAGACCCAAAGCGGCAAAGCCCTCTGAATTGAAGAGAAATTCCCCGAAAGACGATGCTTAAAGCAGTCTGTGGCCGTCATCTCGACGCGCATGTCAAAATTCGAAGTCCCGGCCGCTGGACTCCTAATCCTTCGGATTCGTTCGCATTTTCGCTTACTCCATTCTTCCGACGGCGGAAATTTTCGTTTTCAGCTCAATCCGTTGAAGAAATTGAGATCAACAGCCGGGAAAACGCACAGCCGCTGAGTGCTTTCTTCACAGGAGAGGTCGGGCTTTCGAAGAAAACAGGAGAGACTGCGGTTAAATTAGAAGGCGATTGTGCAAAGTTAAAGGGTAATTCGAGTGTGAAAATTGGGCCTCGGCAGAGCTTGTCAGCGTTGTTCTCCAAAGGGAAGAAGGAGAAGGAGAAGGAGAAGGAGAAAGAAGTGAAATTCGTGGATCCAGTGGTTCACTCGTTGGTTTCTCCTGATATGCAACTGTTTGCCCGACATTTGTACCTGAGAGGATACTTGAAGGGTGCGAATTTCATCGGAAAACAAGGATTTGATTCGACTATCTTCCAGGACAATTACGCCATAGGTTTCTTGAAGTATGCTGCAGTGAACTTTGGAGAAGATCACGCGGAGATTGCCAAGTAAGAACTCATCCATTGATACGTTAATATGCTTGTAGTTTTTGTCCACAATAATTAATACGTGAAAAAAATAAATTTGATTGTGTGCTGGATTCTATTTGATTGCATAATTGTGTCTTAGTTGGTGCCCAAACTAAAATTGCTGTAAATTGATGTTTATTCATATCAAGGGATTATTGTCAAACTCTGTCGAACTATTGTTCCCTTGAGTTATAAATATCTTTGCACTCTGATGTCAGTTTGTGCATCTATTATTGTAAAATGCTACATTATCCTAGTTTGGATGAAAAGTATCGAAAGAAAACGAAAAAAAAATTGTGTGTGTATGTGCACAGTTGAGCTGTGTTCCGATGAAAGGAGTTGTGGTTCAATTTCTCATTCATTATGCTTTTCGAAACATGAACCCCCAGTTTTAGAATTGTAGACATATTTTCGAACCCCTTGTTTTAGAACCGTGGTCTTATGTCTCCCTTTAAGCATGATACTACATCGTGTAGAAAATACAAACTTCCTCTTCAGAGGAATGGAAGATCTTGAAAGGACATGTTAATAATTGAATTTAAAAAGGATATGTATCTTGACTCAATATATACATACAATATACGGCCCATGTAGCTCCTCAGTCCTCATAGTGGAACTGGAATAGAGGCAACATACATGCGTGTGCACGTGTTAAAGGATGTGCGTGGGTGGAATTAAATTTCTGTTTTTACCCTGCTCTATTGACATGAATATTAACAGAACTTCAAATTCATTCTTAACGTTATACACGTTCTGTCAGGTTTTTATGACGTATTCTGCATTCTTATGCCAGATGGTTATCCGCCAGCGAACTGAAGAAGATAGCTCTCTTTGGTTGCCCAACCCTTTATCGAAAAAATGTTAATGCAGCTAAATATTTGCGCTTGTTCTTTAACATCGAGGAACATGAGGTAAGTTAGTCTTGAGAACCTCCATTTTTATAGATCAACTGCTTTATATGGTTCAGTCATTCAGTGATTCTCTTGTTGTTTTAGGTTTGTCAAAAATGCACATTGAGAAACACGTGCAAGCATGCAGACAAGAAGCCTCGAGGTGATTCCAGCAAATTCAACTTGGCTACCGTGAACCGCATCCTCACTGCCTATGCTTTGGGCCCAATTCCTCAAGAACTGGTAGTGTCTAAAGAAATTAGGGAGTCAATAAGTCGATTACTGAAGGAGATTATAAATCTCAGTCAAAAGGATCATGAGGGTGCGCGATAACCCATGCACTTATCAGCATATGGTGAGGTAATTTTGTTTGCATACTTGTGAAATAAATCAATGAATTTAATGCATTTATTTATATCATTCAAAGCTGTTAGTTAACTAGGCGACTCTTTCCATCCATGTCAACTTATAGTCTCGAGAATTGACCAAAACTGCCTTGATTTTATTGATTTGGAGGCTTTCATGTTAGATATTGGCTTAAAACTTCTAACATCATGCTCATTATGCGCAGTCATATTTACAGCTATGTTTTGGATGAAGGTGTATCTTGACCACAGATTTAAACTTCATAGGTCATGAACTTTTTTGAGTTTTGTCTCAATCTGGGTTTCCCTGTTTCTGTGGCTTATCGATTATATCTGCCAGAATAGAGAGTATGCTTCATGAGTTTATTTTTCACAAAAGAAAGCTTAATTTCATGGCCTAACTTAAAAATGGAGGTTTTTAGTTACATGTATGTGGAATGGAACATATTTTGAGTGGGCTCTTAGTATGCAAAGAATTGTACAATAGTAATTATTGAAACCAGGGGTATGCTTGTTTTATATGATCTAATTTTTTGATACGTACCAGGTTATGTATCAAGTGATTATCATTTGTCCTAATTATTTATTGTAAACATGGAATTTAATGAATAGATTAATTTATGGATTTGATAATATGCTGAATTATTTTTAGAATTGTGATGTGGAATGGCATCAAAATCAAATGAATAATGTATAAAATATATTGAGCCACATATTTATGTGTTGAATTATGTAAAACATCAACACAGTGTTGGATTGTTGAACCTCGGTATAATATGTCAAACCATAATTTAAACGTGCAAAATCAAGTTGTCAACTTGTTGAACGCTTTTACATTGAATTACAAAATTGTAGTCTAAGCTGAACTGCATAAGAAAATTACCAAACCATGGTATAAATGTATAAAATGCATAATGCTGAACGAAAAAATAAAATAAAATGTTGAACTATATAAGAATATACCGAATCAATCGCAATTTTTGGTTAAGTTCAGCATACGGTCCGGATCAGTAATTATTAGTGGACAAGACTACTAAAATCTAGTGTCAAAGTCTGAATTGTGCCATGTTTTTATTTTTATTTTTGATGATGTATTTTTTTCTCTTGGCCATCCAAGAAAGTGTTACTTATATCTTGGGGTTTTGGGTTTTAATTATTTTCAAATAAAAATTGGTGCTCATGTGATATCTTTTATATGTTAATGAAAAATAATAGATTGAATAATGTAACAACAAAAAAGTGAATCTAGATTAAGAAACTAACTGGATTTATACTTAGACTTCAATTGATCACCGGATGAAAGCTATAGTCAATAATAGAGCTATATATATCAGATGTTCATAGGTCATTGATTTGTATTGCATCCGGCGTGATTGTAGCTTAATCACTAGCAATTTTCTCTAGTGAATTCGACGATCACACTTGTCATTCATTCGAGTATTCAGATTGCTAATCCCTCTTATTAGGTTTGTGTTTACATCTTACTTACATTTATTTAGATCGCTACCAACTTTAATTATTTGGTGTTATTTGTTAGAGAAGATCCTACTAACTACTCAGCCTTTGAACAGGAAAAGCTTCAGTAATAATGAGTATAAATCTCAATTTTAATCTTTAGAAGAACCTGCACCCACTGTCCACTTCATATCCCTTAATCTTTTGTGACTCAAAATATACACAAACATACTCTCATCACATGGATCAAATATAACTAATATTTTTAGACTGCTTTTAAGTGTCCAATTTACGTTTATGAATAATCATTGTTTTCTTTTTGAGAGCACACTGATGTACACTGAGTTACCTTAGAAAAATTAAGTGGGAAGGAAACAGAAATAATAGCAGCTATGGTCAATAACAGGGGAACAAGGAAGGAGAGAAGTTTCACCATGAATCTGTTCATTCTGTATATGGGAATCAATCCTAGAAAGTAAGTAGGCTGGATTGCTCTTTTAAATAAAATTAGATCAGTTTATATTGGCCAATTTCTCCAATTTTCGGCAATAGATCGTAACTATCATGAATTCAGAACTTGTGATATAGTGAACCAAGTAATGCAACAATAGAACTTTTGCAAGCATATCTACTTACCTGCAAATTTTTTAATGATTTTGTTCATGTTGGAAAATCTTGTGTCGAGGCCGCCTGCAGATGCTTGTTTATTCCACCATGATTGACATAAGTACTTGTATATTTTTGGCTAGAACTGCATGAGTAATATGTCTTTGGAGTTTTGTTTAAGCTTGACGACCACTAGAACAACTTGGGTTACGACTAACCATGCAGCATGTCTTACTAAAACAGTAAACTATTTTGCATCCTGATAATTTGGAATATGCTCATCCAATTTTTGTGCTTGATGTGTCATTGGAAACCTTATGATATATACTTGTATGCATATGAAATATCAGCCTAAATGAAGTTTGCATAAATTACTTGTAATGCTCATATGGTCTGTTTTGCATAATCAATGGCATGGTTATATTGGGCACAAGATATGTTGTACAGCCTTTTTGGGTTGCGATTTGTGTGCTCAATGTAATATGGATTGTGTCGTGATTTTTTATTTACTTACTTATTGATGATTTAGGAATCTGCATCCGCATTGGAAGGTTCAGCCTGCAAAGAGATGTCGGGAGTTTGAATTCGTGACTTTACGGTCGCAACTCACAAGTTTACCCTCACGCACTACTAAACGATCTCTCGTGTGTTGTGCTTATTGTGCGTGGGGGGTTCTTATTTTGTCGATAAGGTATCATGGACGACTACTTGTGCCATTAGACAAACTAAAATGGAGGATTGAATTTTGAGTTGAGGTTTAAATAGTAAAAATTTTGAGTTTAATAGCTGTACGATGTCATATAAATTGATATTGATGTGATGTTTGAATGTAAAATTAATTTTTAATATCTTATAGAAAATGGAAAGTAGATATTTGATTTGATATCTTTTGGGAAAATTTTTTTGATATTTTCAAACTTGTTTTGGTCGTATCAACAAACTTGCACAGTTATTAAAATATATTCTCTCCATTCCATTGGTTTTTATTTCACTTTTGTAAATTTTATTTCCTCTGTATATAAGGCTGTCACATTTACGTTTATTAACATTAAAAATCTATTTATATTTGTATAATTTTTTGTATAAATATCATATTAATGGAAATATTTTTTGCAATACTATATTTTAATATAATAATTAATATTTAAATATGAACGAAAAAAACTAAATGAAACCTAAAATAGTATTAAATTCAAATAAATTTAATAAATTTAAATTAATTTAATTAATTTCCTAATATATAATGTTATACTAGAATTTATTCAAAAAAAAATTACTTATATTTTTTTTCAATAAATAAATATTTTTATCTATATTTAACATTCTTCTTTTTTATTATAAAATTAGTTTATCTTAATTATATATAAATAAGCATATTTTTATTTAATTCTATTATTCAAAATTTTATTATTTACAAAATGATGACTATATTACGATATATTTTATTAAGATATAATATTTAAATATATATTCTAAATTTATTATATATTAATTTTTATTTTAAAATTACAACAATATTAATCCTATAAAAAAAATAATAAAACAATATTTTAATTCAAATCATTAACTAATTGAATTTTATTACTCTCTCCGTCCCATATAAAGAGTAAAGGTTATTTTTTACGTAGATTTTTTAATATTAGTATTATATTGGATTGTAGTAAAAAAAATGAAAATATCCTTATTAGTATTGTGTAATATAAAGGTAGTAACATTTGTATAATATATTGTAACTTAGAAGGTATTTATTATTTTAGGTAGGTAGTACAATTATTAAATTAGGGAATGGTAAATGGAACCCTTCTTATGGGACAGAGGGAGTACTTTAAATTAAAGTGAGACATTTGAATCGAGACAAAATGAGTATGTTGGAAAGTGTTTTTTTTTTTTTTTTTTTTTTTTTTTTTTATATCCACCTCCAATTTCAATTACTTGAGCTACTTAGCTGAAATATATACTCCATCCATCATCCAATTGTATGTTTATTTGAAGAGTACGAACTTTAAAAAAAAATAGATAAAAATATATATATATATATATTTTTTACTTTTTAGGCTAAATAAAAATAATAACAATAATAATATTTTTTTACTAAAAAAATGAAATGAATACCCTAGCAAGAGTAATCACTTATAATTGTTGGTTGACTCACGTTTGTAGATAAATAAATAAGTAGTGCATATTAAATTTTTTAGATTAATCTATCGTTTACATCATTTAAATTTATTTTTCATTTGTATATTTGCAATTTCATTTTATAGTATGACATGGTAATTTCTACTCATAATTTGTTATTGAATGTCAGAAATTTATACCTTTATAATCATTTCAATTTTGCTAATGCAGTCATTAATTTTTCACCAATATTTTCAAGCTCTTTGACTATAATTGCATATTCTTTGTCAATCTGTATTGAATGCTAAAAAAATTATGAGACATGATAGCAAACAAATATTAGTGTAACAAAAAGCAATAAAACAATGTCGTAAATACAATATTGTTTGAAATTACATTTTTCTTGCTCTTTTAACACAACTTCATGTTCTTCGTGTCTTTTCTTTGATTGTCCTCTTCAATCTTTGACCATATTTTATTGCTTGTAGAGTTAATTTTCATCAAAATTGGCAACAGTGGTTAGAGCAACCAAAACTTGAAACTTTTCGCGCATTTTTATTCTTCGTTGTGGTTGATTATTTGATTTGCTACTTGTCCTTGCCTTTTGAACTCTAATTGGAAGCTTCAGATCAATTGCAACAAGACCTTATAAATCTAATTTTTGAACCTTTTGCTGACAAATTACTCCCTCCGTCCCATGTAATATGGATGTATTACCGTGGACACGGGAAATTAGGTAAAGTATAATTAGTAAGTAATTAAAAAATGTATTAGTAAAAATAATTATTATTTAGTAAAAATAATTATAGATTAAGATTAAGATAAATAAATAGTGTAATTAAAATTAAAAAATTATAAAATTTAAAATTTAAAATGCGAATAAAGTGCATAATTATATTTCTAAAAATAGAAATTACAAGTTATGTGAGACGGAAGAAAATAAAAAATAGGGACAAATTATGTGGGACGGAGGAAGGGAGTAATATTTATATGTATGACTACGGACTACAATCAATATAGGTGATTGAAAAATAGATTTAAAATGTATGTATAAAATATTATTATGGAGTCAAATTCTTAAGCATTTCTTTCTCATTTTCTATAATTATTATAATTTGATAAATACACTATTTTTTTTTATTAAAATCATTATTTTAATTTTAATAAAAGATAAAATATTCCTTCGTCCTATTGAAATGTTATTATTTTTCATTTTCGTTCGTCCAAAATAAAGTTATTATTTCCTTGCTATTACCTGCGTATTTTTATTTTTTTTATTAGAATCTAATATAGTACTAATATTAAAAAATTTAAATGTAAAAAACAAAGGTCACACTTTCACTGGAGCGACGGAGAGAGGGAGTATATATGATCCCATTTTTATTTGAAAAGGAGAATCCATTAACCACGTGCCGTAAGGTTGATCTCACGTGAAAATAGACTTCCATCCATCAACATGGCTTTGCCCTAAATTCCCAAATTGCGGACAGTGGCGGGAAATCGAGAGTTCTCTCGAGAGGGAAAACCCTGCTGAGTGCCAGCAGCCGTGGTCGATCCGACGCCTCTCTATCACACCCAACGGAAGATGGCAGAAATCGAAACCCTAGGCATACTCGACGAAATTCAATACATCGTCTCCGATAAACTTCAAGTGGTAAGCCCCACGCCTCCAAATTTCTCCAATTCGTCAATTATTTGTGGGATAGAAGCTTCATCTTTTGGATATGTGTTTTGAACAATGGCTATTTGGTTAAATGCAATGGTTTGTCCTAACTTTAACTTATGCTAGAGAGTCCTACATTACGACGATCGTGCTAGAGGGCTTGCTGTGAAAATTAGATTAATTTGCAATGTTGCTTTATGCTATAATTTTCTTGCTCTACCATCGCTATTCAATTTTTATAGTGAAATTTATTATTTTTATTTTTTAATTTCAGGTGTCCTACAAATGGCTTAGTCGAAATTTTTTGGTTTCCTCTGATGCTGCGAAAAGGTAACCGGATTCGTGTACCCCAAATTAATTTTTGATGATTGTATGCTATTATAATTTGGTATGATTATTGTGTTTGAGGGAACTTTTTGTAGGCTGCTGCAAGAGTTTGTTGAAAAGTATGGGAATGGTTTAGAGGTGATTTACACTCTCTCTGGGTGGTTGAAGAACAATCCTTCGACTTACCATATAAAACTTGTTTCCAAGAATAAGCTTTCAGGTGGTTCCTTAACCTTACTGTTCAATAAAACTGCAAAGTTGCATAAATAAATTGTATAAGTGAATATTTCAAAGAAAATTGTAATGTGCATGGTAATCTCAGATTATTGTTTTGACCATTAGCATTGAATGATTTATTTATTTATTTTTTGGGGGCAAGTTTTCATTTGCATTTGGATGTCCTTGCTAATGTTTGACTATAAAGTAATTGTAGTAGATTTTGGTATTGTAGGGTCTTTATAAGTTAAGCCTGTATTTAATTTTAGATTGTATAAAAATTTTGTGTCTCTTTTGATTATTATGCTTAAGTTGGTGTTAAGGAATAGCCTTATTCATTGCTTCTTAACAACTTAATCTATGTGTAAAATCTGAGAAACTGTTCACCATAACTACTTATCTTTTTGTTTGTTTAAATTTTGCAGATGCAAAGCATGAGTTTAATGGAGATTGCTCCATTCAAGTCTATAGTGTGCAGGCCTCTCTTCCCAAAGATCCAGCTACACTTTGGAATCAAGAATTTGTTCAAGCTGAAGACCTCTTCAAGCAGCCTCAAACAGCTGATAATTGCTTGCGAGATAACAGGTCAATCGCCTAGGCTCAAATTTTCTCCTGTATTTAATTGTAAATTCCATTGAGTGATATTGTTGGTAGTTTATCTTCTTTCACGATCATTAGATTTGTTATTACACCTTCATGCAAAACCTCCTTTCTGTTTTAAAATCTATTTCACTCTTAGGTTCTGTGGAGTTTCAAATTCATTTGTTAAGCGAGTTTCTGGAGAGGCATCTTCAGGCAGTAGACCCAATCAAATAAAGACTGAAGGAGCCTCGGATTTGTCTAAAAGTTATTCTACTCAGACAGCTGAGACTGTCCCACAACCTTTACAGAAAAAAGTTCAGCAGTCAAGCCCAAATGTTAGCGGCATTGGTAACAATGTAAAACCTGATGTGAAGCTTGAACATGGGAAAGGCAGCCAAAATAAAGAAAAGATTTCTCCTTCGCTTCCGAACAACCAAAAGGGCCAGACTGAAAAAAAACCTTCTGGTACTGGAAATTCTTTGGCTAACATTTGGGGCCGTGCATCTGCGAAGTCCAAACCTGACACTCCTTTAGCGCAAGCTGACAATTCCAAAGCAAACTCTATTGGTTAAACCCTTCATTCTTGTATATTTCTTGTAAAGATACAAGGTAATTGTGTATTGTCTTAGTTTATCTAAATCACGTCTTCTCATCTAATATCTCAGCTAGTGCAGAAGGTCAAATTTGTGCTCGTGAATCAGCTGAATGTGGGAGCAGCGATGAAGAAGACCGAGATTTCACTGTACACAGAGCTTCTAATGCTGAAGGCAGTAGAAAGAGGAGAGTTGTATTTGATTACTCAGATGAGGAAGACGAGTACCAAAATGCAGTAAATCTAGCATCACCTGATCCTCCGAAAAGATCTACCCCTCGTTCAGATAGTTTAAAAACATCTGGCCTGGAGAACAGCTTAGGTTTTGAGGAGAATGAAAATAAACCAATGATTAATAGAACAAATGAAGATGATGCAGGAGCTATCCAACCTTTGGGAGAAAAAGTTTCTGCTGCAAACAAGGACAAGCAGGCCAAACCTCCCACTTCAGAGAAGGCCACAAGCCATGTTCCCAAAATAGAGGCTAACGTGAAAGACACCGCAGCTGATGCTGTGCCTAAACGAAGAAAAGTGTTAAAGAAGAGGATTGATGAACGTGGAAGAGAAGGTGATGTTTCTAACTTTCAATTTTATCGAGGATGTGAAATGAGTTGCTAGTCTATTTCCATGTCAATTATGCTGTTAATATTAACCTAATTTGTACGTGTACCCAGTTACTGAGGTTGTGTGGGAGGGTGAAGAGCCTGATAGAAACACCATCAGTAATTCTTCAAAGACTTCTGATACCAGCTCAGCGAGCAACACTATTCACAGGTTAGACACATGGGTGCTGGAAACATTATATATGCCTTTTCTTGCTTCAATTGAATGATATTATTCTTACAACATTAGTTCCTTGTTGAGGTATATTTCTTGATTCCCAGTCATTTCATTTAGTACGGTTCAAAATTATTATATGTATGTTCTCCATATGACTGGAATACATGCTTACAATTTGAGGAGTGGAAAAAGCTTTAAAGAATTGGACCTCCTTACTTTGCATTGGAAATTTTTATATAAACTTTGCATGGATTTCCCATAATTAGTCGAAGCTCTGACACACTGCTTGGATGCTCACACATCACAATACAGGAAATTTTTTGTACAAGTTGTAAAGTCGATACAGAAATTTTGCAACCTAGTGGTTCATGTATAAATTTATGATGTTCGTTATGCACAGTATGGTGCTTGAAGAAACCTTGCTTTGTTCAATTGTATTTCTAGAATGGTTTTGATGTGTCGTACACTGTTCCTTTTTGATAATTTTACAGTGCGGGCATAGGGTTTTTGCCAGTATTACTTGGGAAAAAAATTAATGTCTGGAAAGTTATAGCAATTTTAACTTTGTTATATTTATATGAGTAATATATGTTAATGTAATTGAACTTATGTTTGGGACTTCATGTTTTATATGTATATTCATTTGCTTAGAACATAACATAGTCCAAACTTTTGGAACTAAAAATATTCATTTCACTACTGTCATAAAACTCTCGAGATAACCTGATTTCACTATCATCATTGAGAAAATAGCCAAAAGGATCTTATGTTAGTCCAAAACCACACAGAACAACCTGACGTGCTAGGCATCCTGCTTGTTTGGTTATCCCTGCTCTTTATACTATCCTAGAAGTGTCCTAAAATCGACAGTGTTTATCCAGCTATCGCTTCCTTTATAAGACTCTACTATTTTATGCTGTATTATTATACTGACACTTTCCGATCATACAAATGTTCTTGTATTAATAGGCCACCAGTAGCTAGAAAATCACCTGCAATTGGAATCGGTGCTCCTGCAAACCCATCAGGGAAAGGTGGAAACAAAAAAGGCGGAAATAAGGATCCAAAGCAGGGGAATATCCTATCATTCTTCAAGAAAGTTTGAGGTAATGAAGGTGTTATTGATTCGCTGCGGTAAGTGCCAATTTGATATTGTAAAATCTCTCCTTAATTTTGTAAGTATGAGTTCACTTCTCTTGCTGCATTTAGTTCAAATCTGTCGAATCTGAATCTGAATTGATGAGATATTACTGTTTCCATCTCAAAGGGAAACTTGGTCAACTTTTTCTTTTTTTATTATTCTGGATTTGGCTGTGTAGTAACTATTATGTTGCTTACCTGGTTCATCAATGTTGAACACCGATCTTTGGCGTCGTGTGACACGACTATAATTGGTTTCCCATTTATAAAACTAGAGTGTCTCAGTTGAATTTTGGGTCGACTTTATTCGCAATGCTGACCAGTTATGGAGCTAAAGGATTTGCTTAACAAGGGAACAAAAAAGAAGGATGGAAGTAAGTTAAGTTTAGAGCATACACAATGCCTTTCTTGTTTTTTAATAAATAAAATAAATTTTATTGATTGAAGCCGCAGTTATATTTAATTCCTTGTGTCCATACTAGTGTGTTCAATAATAATTCTTTGGCAGAATTCTTGTCATAGATGTTTACGGGATTCTTTAGTTCAGTAAGAGCATCCGCAGGAGAGGCGCCACATCATAATTCTTTTTAAGAAAAAAAAAAATTAATATAATCGTTATTTTTAGTATCTCTGCAGAAATGTTGGGAAGATGTGATTCCATTGCCATGTGTCTTAATTTAATTGGATGCATGATACTTAGGTATATGTATGTATATATATAATATATATTATATATGTTTTGTTTTTGTAATTTATATTGAATTTATTGTTATATTTAAATTTTGTAATATTTTTATAATTCATAATATTTTGTATTCAATATAAAATGATACCAATATTGAATATATTTTATCAATTTGAAATTTAAAATATATAAATACAAATATTATATAATTCTATCGAACAAATCAATATTAATAATTAGCCAATATTTTATATGTTATTTTTTATTTAACCAATAATAATTATAACAATATAAATACAAATTTGATATTAAAATTAAAATTTAAAAGTAAATTAAAACTAAATTTAATTAAATCATAAATGATAGTATAACTTTTTTCCCATAATATTTTAATAAATTCAAATATTGACAAATAATAATATAATATAATAATTAATACTAAAAATTAAAACTATAATTAAAAAATAATATATATAATATGAAAATAAAAATTTATTAATAAATTAGAATGAGTATGTTTGTTGTAAATATAAAATAGAAGATAGTATCTCATTGCCGATGGTCTAAAGGCTAACTTTTTTTTTATTTTATTTTGAAATGTGATTCAATATATAATTTTGTGAGCTATATATATATATGAATTATAATATTGTTATTTGTATTCATTTGATCAAATAGAGAAATTGCAATAATATGGATATGCATTTCTTTCGTATCCAGCAACTAGCTTATAACGTGTTATACACATCTAATTTTTATATTAATTTAATATTTTTATAAATAATACTTATAGTTTTTTTTATATATATAAAATATATTATTCAAATAAAAAATTAATTTAAAAAATAACATATACAATAAAAATTAAAAAAATAATAATAATTTGAAAATAAATAAAAATAACAAATTTGGTAATTAAGAAAATACATACGAATAAAATTACTAGTATTATATCCATATTATAACAAGTCCGACATTAATAGTATTATACTCCAACATTAATACTATTATACTCCCTCCGTCCTAAGTATTATGTCCACGTTGCCCGTTTCTGTCCGTTCCACATTTCATGTCATTTTTTTATAAAAATAATTATATACTTTAATCTCATTTAAAATTTTTTAATTTATTATTTTTTTAATTTTAATTAAACTAATTAGTTATCGTAATTTTAATTTATAATTATTTATATTATAGGATAATTATTTTTACTAATACATTTTTAATTATCTACTAATTATATCTCTCATAAAATATCGTATTTACGGTACAGCAGTCACCGTGTATTATAGAACGGAGGGAGTACTACATTATTTTGTTATTATAACAATTTAATAAATACATAATAATTTAATTATAAATATAGCACAATTCAACCCTAATCAATAGATTAGACATCCACAATTCCACTGTTCCACAGCCGCCGCCGCCGCGCGCACAAGGTTCTTCTCTTTCTCTTCTCTTTCTGCGTCTTCTTTCTTCTACAACTATTTCCTTTCTTCCTTCTTGTTCGCCGTCGCCGCCGGCCTGTTCAAAAAAAATTACAGATAATGGTCGAACCGTCCCTTCAACCGGTAACCTGAGGTTTGAACCGACGGTTCGCGATTTGACAAATACGAAACCGAATCGTAGTAATAGCGGTTTCGTTCGAACCGAACTCAGTTTCGATTTGAACCCGCCGGTTCGAAAAGCTGCGGAACCGGATGGGCCAGTTAGTCTGGATCAAAACAATTTCAATTTCTATGTTAATCTATTAAAATTTTATTGTTAAAATACGTGGCTTATTTTGATTGGATAAAACATGTCATCATTTTATTATAGAAATATAAAAAGAAATAAGAGGAAGAACAAACCGTCTATATAAATAGAGAGAGGGAGGGGGAGAGAGGTGTTGAGCCTAAGTAAATCACGTCGTCTGGGAGACCGATACAGGGTTTGTCAATTTCTTTCACAGAGATATTTGGATGTTGTGTTTTTTCAGATCTGTCCGATGCAATTCTTTTATGTGGAAGTTCGGTTTAAATTTTGCTTTTTTTTGTTCGTAGTAATTATATTTTGCGGATTTGTTTTTGTTGAATATCTAGCCGTCCTTGATAGATAGGAAGTAGATCATATGTATAAGTTATGATTTGAAGCCCAGATCTGCTAGCATCTACTTCCGATTCATTGTTTTCATTGATTTTTTCACAAAATTTTGCATTGCGGATCTTTCTAGGGTTTATTAAAAGTTTGTTTTTGTTCGCGATATAATCACACTTTTTTTTTTTGTAAGTTTTTGGTTTGGATTTATTGGATACTTACTGGTTCATACTATTAAGCACAGTAATTTATGTGGAATCCCTAAAAAAGATGCACCAAATTTTAATTATTTTATTTTATTATTATTATTTTTTAGTAATTTTGTTATTCATAACATTTTGAATTGATTTGCTTTACCATTCTAGTTTTACAATGTTGTGGAATCTTGAATATTGTTTATTCTAATATTTCTTAAGAGTTTTATATTTGCAATGTGATTGCAGTGATTCGAATTGCTTGGTCAACGCAAAATGGGAGGAGGATTTAGAGTGCTTCATCTGGTTCGCCCGTTTCTCGCGTTCTTGCCTGAGGTTCAGAGCGCAGACCGAAAAGTTCCATTCAGAGAGAAGGTTATATACACTGTGATATCTCTGTTCATTTTCCTGGTCTGCAGTCAGCTGCCATTGTATGGCATACACTCCACCACAGGTGCGGATCCATTTTATTGGATGCGTGTTATTCTCGCCTCGAACAGGGGTACAGTTATGGAACTTGGAATTACACCTATTGTGACATCTGGAATGGTCATGCAACTTTTGGTGGGTTCAAAGATCATTGAAGTTGACAACAATGTGCGGGAAGATCGTGCCCTTCTGTAAGTATATCAATAGATTTTCTAAGTTCAATTTTGTGCTTTTTGATAGTTTTATCTGAATTGAATCAATTATGAGTCCGAAAACACTTTGTATATATGATATTCTTGTATGTAGAGTGGCTAATATAACATGTTATAACTTTTTCAGAAATTCATTGCGTGATTGAGATTTAACTTTCATCGTTGATGCTATTGTATGGATTTATGCATGATAGCTATTGGTTTGGCTGAATTTTGTTTTGCATTTCACATGCTGCATCAAATTAATTCATCAATTGTTTCGTCGTTGATGATTTTTTCTCAATTAGTTGGCCTTCATGAAGATAATTAATATATCCTTTCTTTTTTGAAACAGAAATGGTGCACAAAAGTTGTTAGGCATATTGATAGCTGTTGGTGAGGCTGTTGCATATGTTCTTTCGGGAATGTATGGCAGTGTAAGCCAACTTGGAGTTGGAAATGCTATCCTTATAATTCTGCAACTCTGCTTTGCTGGCATCATTGTTATTTGCCTGGACGAGCTTCTCCAGAAAGGATATGGTCTCGGATCCGGTATTTCACTATTTATTGCCACCAATATTTGGTAAGTCGGTGATTGATATATTTATTCCCTGTTGTTTTATTTTGGTTAAGACTATCAATGTTTATTTGGCTTGAATTCTTCTTATTTAACAGTGAGAATATCATCTGGAAAGCGTTCAGTCCGACTACCATTAACAGTGGCCGTGGAGCTGAATTTGAAGGAGCTGTTATTGCCTTGTTTCATCTGTTAATAACCCGTACAGATAAGGTTCGAGCTCTGCGAGAGGCATTTTACCGGCAGAATCTTCCTAACGTGACAAACTTGCTCGCCACTGTCTTGGTCTTCCTTATTGTTATCTACTTCCAAGGCTTCCGTGTTGTTCTGCCTGTGAGATCAAAGAATGCCCGTGGCCAACAGGGTTCATATCCGATTAAGCTGTTCTATACTTCGAATATGCCCATCATTTTACAGTCTGCACTTGTATCCAACCTTTACTTTATATCCCAGGTAATTAACTTATACTGATTTTTTTGAATGAATCTAGGCGATGAATTTCCTGAGTTCGACTGAGGTTCTAAAATCTTTTGTATTTCAACAGTTGCTTTATAGGAAATACAGTGGAAATTTCCTAGTCAATCTTTTGGGAAAGTGGAAGGAATCTGAATACTCGGGTCAATCCGTCCCTGTTGGTGGTCTTGCTTATTATATAACAGCACCATCGAGGTAAGCTTGATTCTTGACTTGTTTCTGTTTCTGTTATCATAACTTGTTTTTTCTGGAAAAATTTCCTCAACTATATAAGTGACTGCTTGGGTTTTGCAGCTTGTCAGATATCGTTGCCAATCCATTCCACGGACTGTTTTATATAGTGTTTATGCTATCAGCATGTGCTTTATTTTCAAAAACATGGATTGAGGTCTCAGGATCCTCAGCTAAGGATGTGGCTAAGCAGCTGAAGGTATGTTAATAGGCATTTAATCAATCATATTCAAAATCTTCCTGATACAAAAATGAGCCATATTAGTTTTCCTTGTTAAGATAATATTTGCCAATTTTCTCTAGGGTATATAATGAAACAATTTCTTAGTTCGGAAGCACTTTTGTACTGTTTTGGGTGATACAACAGTTTATGTTTTTGTTATTTGAATAATTAATACCTTCTTTATCCATCAAATTTATGTTTGTTTTCTTGTCCACAAAAGATATGAACTTCTCATTTATAAATAGTAATTTTCACACTTCTTAATCCTTAAACATTATATTTATTTACAATGATGCCACTACTACTCACTCATACATCGAGCAATTTTGTGGATGGAAAGTGTTGTAAATAGTGATTTTTTAGGGAGTAATATATTGATCGGTGCAGTACCATATAGTTACTCTGTCATCCAATGTCTGCCTACTTTTCGGCAAATAGTGATTTTTTGGGTAGAAGTAATATATATTGATTTGTGCAGTACTATATAATTACTCCGTCATCCATTTACGTGCTCATACTTTTGGCCACACGATTTAACCAAGTGTGTATTTTTTGTACTTTGGATGACGAAGGGAATACTAGATTGTGGTGGTTAGAAGCACTAGGTAACGAGTTTGCACAGTTGTGTGAATAATTTTGAAATCAGTGTACTCATTGAAATTTAGAGTTGGCCATGAGAAATCTGCAGATTACTTATCCTTTGTCTATTTGAAGCTGCATCTTGATCTTGACGGTGTGCTCTAAACTTGCCAGGAACAACAAATGGTGATGCCCGGCCACCGGGAATCAAATCTGCAGAAGGAGCTGAACCGTTACATCCCTACTGCAGCAGCGTTTGGGGGGATCTGCATCGGCGCGCTGACAGTGTTGGCTGATCTGATGGGCGCAATCGGTTCGGGGACAGGGATTCTACTGGCGGTCACAATCATTTACCAGTACTTTGAGACATTCGAGAAGGAAAAGGCCTCGGAGCTCGGCTTCTTCGGGTTCTAAGTTAGACACTTGAACTGTGATGGACTTAATTAGTTTGTTGTTGTCTAGACAATTTTCAGTTTTGGTAAAGCAAGTGAAGAGGAATTCCTATGAATTAATTATATATGCTCCACAGAGATTCCCAACACTTCAGTTTTTTCTTGTTTGTCAATTGTTTTTTTTTTTTTTTCAAAGTGATTAAATTATACTCCCGCAATATTTAAAAATTAGGTGATATGATGGAGAGAGAAATATATATATATATATATTTTTTTTATTTGTACAAAAATAAAATATTTCAGAGTGTTTAGGATGGAGTACTGTTATATGGATTTAGGTTTTGAGACTCAGCCAGCACGCAGATATAAATAGGGATGACATACCTATGGAAAATATAGGTCGATACCGATACCGTATGACTAAAATACATACCGGTATCGTACCAAAAGTTTCATTATATTGAATTTTGGTATATCGAAATTTTTGGTATGGTATCGATATATATCGTTTATACCGAAAATTTTAATTTTGGTACGATCGATACCGATATATATCATTTATACCGAAAATTTTGATTTCGGTAGATACCTACCGATTATACCGAAAATATAATTTTAAATTTCAAAAAATATTATGAAAAAATAATTTAATAGTTTAGATATTTCCAATAGTTTAGATATTTTTTGTTATGATTTTAAAAAATATTAATAATTACATTATTTAATAAAAATAATATCGCTACGGTATCATACCGAAATACTCAACTTTTCGAAAATTCATACCGATATGGTACCGAAAACTTTGGTACGATATCCATACCGTATCGAAATTTTCAATATTTTCAACACGATGGGGTACGATAAGTCGATATTTTGGTATGTTTCGGTAAATTTATCCATTCCTAGATATAAATAGCGAGTTGGACTCTCTCTCTCTATATATATTTATTTTTAAAAAACCCGCATTATTTGTTTGTTTGGGAGTTTGGATTTAAATATTAAAAATTTTGAATTTGAATAGTTGTATGATGTGATATAAATAGGTGTTGATGTGATGTTTTAAATGTAAAATTGATTTTTAGTATAATATAAAAAATGAAAATAAGTGTTTGATTTGATATTTTTTAAGAAAAAAAAAAGATGAATAGTGTATTTAAAATCTAATCCTCAAACAAACACACCTTAAGTATAATATATATATATAAATAGATAGATAAATAACAATAATATATAAATATATAGATGCATATATATGTACGTATATACGAGGGGTGTATGTATATAAATTGATACTCCCTCCGTCCCATATAATTTGTCTCTATTTTCTATTTTCGTTCGTCCCACGTAACTTGTCCTTTCTATTTTTGGAAATATAATTATACACTTTAATCGCATTTTAAATTTTAAATTCTATAATTTTCTTAATTTTAATTAAACTTTTTACTTATCTTAATCTTAATCTATAATTATTTTTACTAAATAATAATTATTTTTATTAATACACTTGTTAATTACTTACTAATTATACTTTATCTAAATTCCCTTATTTACAATAATACACCCATATTACATAGATAAATTCCCTTATTTACAATAATACACCCATATTACATGGGACGGAGGAATAATATAATATTGATGGTGTGTAATAGAAGTATATTATATATAGAGTTAAAAAAATATATATTATATTTCAATAAATTATATATAATAACAAAATTTTATATAATATAAAAAAGATATTTATTTATTTATTTATTTATATAAGTACAAACGTGTGGTGTTTATATATGAGAGAGAAGAGATAATGAGAAAATTATGTTCATAAAATCTATTAATTTTCATTCATTGCAGCAATATAAAAATTGCTTAGTCTTCTATTTCATTACATGACATAAGAAGATTTTTATTTATCAAGCATATATTATATTTGTCTAATAATTTTGTATATTTATTTAAAATTTAAATAAAATATTTGATTTCCACTATAGAGTATATATTATATAATATTTTTTAAATTTATATAAGAAAATTAATTCTAAACAAAAATATATTATTATTTATATAATATACTACTATTATACATTTGCTAGATAATTCACTTTAAATTTGTAATAAAGGAGTATGTATTCTTTTTGTCAAAAATATTAAATATATTTTTAAAAAATTTAATATATTATAATTATTCTTTTCTTTTATATCATTGTACAATTTTTTATAAAAAAAAAAAACAATCATCAAACTAAAACATAACACAGATTACTTGAAAATTTTAAAGTGGTCAGGGTCATATTACTCCCTCCATTGTGCAAATGTGTGCTCATTTAATCGGATACGAATTTTAATAAAAGTGAATAATAATTATTAATTTTTTCTTTTATAGTAAAAAATAGTACAAAAGTAGAATGATTTTTTACTTAAAAAAGAAATGAAAATATTTTTCGATGACAGCACAGAGAGAAAAGCGAGCATAGATTTGAACGAGGGAGGGAGTACTAATAATAATAAATGTAGGGAAAAATAAAAATAAAAATCAGTTTAGATTGGTTTAAAAAATCAGTAGAATCCAAAAACAATTTGATTTTGTATTTAGATAAATCTGTATAAAAGCAGTTTTTATAAAAAAAAATTATTTAAATATAATAGAGTTGAAAGTGCTTTTTAAAATGTTAAAATTACCCAAATTGACACAATATTAATATAATAGTACTTTTTTTATAAAACTTTTATCATTTATTTTTAAATTTTATTAATTATATTTAAAGATTTTAAATTATAGTATAACAATATTTTTAAAATTTAGTTGTTTATATTTCAAAGTTTTAATATAAAGATAATATATAGATTAAAAATAAAATTTACAATCCAATATTAAGTTATTTGTATTTTAAATTTTAAAAATTATATTAATAATTTTAGTATAATTAAAAAATTTATATACACCTATTTAAATTTGATATCTTAATTATAATTTTAAATTTTAATTAAAATATAACATATAAATTAAAAATAATAATTTAATTTTTTATTAAAATATAATATATATAGTATATAATTGTATACTATATATATAAGTTAACTATTTTTATAATATTATATTATAGTATTTATTATTATTATTATTATTATAAAAAAACACTTTTGAGCCTCATAACATTTTTTTTTAATGCACAAAAACGTATGCAAACAAGTACTCCTTTCGTCCCAAAACTATAGTTTGGATTGTCTTTGACACAGGATTTAAGGAATATTGATATTATATTGGCAGTGGGTAAAACGTACGTGTAAAAGACTTTTTTGCCATTGTGAGTTTATTAGTGTAAAAAGTAGTAGCAATTATTTAATAATAATGAAAAAGTAATTGTAGTTTTATAGTGATATGGTTATTTACGAAAATGAGACTATTGTTTTGAGAGGGACAAAAATAGTAAACAAGACTATTATATTGGGACAGAGGAAGTATAATATTTTGTTTAAAAATATAAGTCTAAAGCTGATCCCAAAAGCCAATTCAAACCAGACTTAAATAATATGTTTTTTTTTTTTTGAATTGATTATGAATATTTGCCTAAGAATATGAATACCCATACGAAATAATTTATTTATTATGTCATTCAAATTTATATTTATTATTTTTTGGTTATTAACGAAAATTATTTTCGTTTTTTTATTTAGTAAAAAATATCACTTTTTTTTAATTATAAAAAATTATTTTAATAATTATTCTTTTTAATTTTCTGCTTTTTTTATTTAGTAAAAAATATCACTTTTTATTATATAAAAAATATTATTATTTTTATTATTTTTTTTAAAACTAATGTCCGATTAAATAAAACAAATAACGAAGAATATATTTTTATTGGAAAAAAGTATTACACTATACTTTTATTGAAAAAACAATGTTTATTATTATCATTATTATTATTATTATTTTAAAATTTAAAATTTTATTATTAATTTCACAATCAAATAAATATATAGATAAACATATGTTAAAGAAATATAGTTTAGAATGGTATGTTACTCAGTGGGCCTGGCCTACTTAGTAGTAAGGGTGGGAATTCGGGCTAGTTCGGTTTTTTTCGTGCCGGCCATCCGGTCCGATTCCTAATCAAACATATACAACAAAGAATTTTACCATCAATTTTAATTTTTGTCATTATTTCAAAAATTAATATATATATATATATATATATATAAATTTAGTAAAGCTTAAATATTAATTTCAAAAACTGAGTTAGACCAGACAAGGTTCAAAAAATTTTGAATTCATTTTTTAAGGTCCAAACATGATTTTTTCATGCTTAAATTGAGTTTTCGGGCCGTTTTTATTTTTTCTCTTAGTTAAATGTAGTTTGATGGGATAATATTGTAATGTATTTGTATTAATATATATATATTTAAAGTGGACAGTTTGTCTGGGGTTTGGATTTTGAGTTGAAATTTGAATAATAAAAATTTTGAGTTTGAATAGTTGTATGATGTGATATAAATAGGTGTTTACGTGATGTTTTGAATGTAAAATTGATTTTTAGTATAATGTAAAAATAAAAAATAGGTGTTTGATTTAATATTTTTGAGAGAGAAAAATGAGATGAATAGTATATTTAAAATCCAATTCCCCGAACAAACACACGTGTTTATATATTCATTTATGTTATGGTGTTAATTTAAGAAAATGAAAGGTGTTGATTTTTTAAATAGCACTGATTAAAAATTCAAATAGTTCATATAGCACTTGCTAGATAAAATAAGAGTATATCATTTATTTTTAATTGCATTTATATTATATTAATATAAATACTATTGTGTAATATTTGATAAAAATACATGCAATAAAACAATTTATTTGTAATTTCATAAAATTATACGTGTATATATATGACGACTGTTATTGTACTAATTATAATACATTGTTGACATCTTAATCCATAATATATACCCAATGACCCAATCAGATATAGAGTAGCATGACAAAGTACATGTTAATATAAATAAATGAACCGACAACACAATATATATTTCGAAAAAATATATACTCCATCCGTCCCATGACAAAATATTTATTTTTTTATTTTAGTTTATCCCATAACAAAATATTCATTTCTTTTTTTAGTAACTGTACTATTTACCTAACATTACAAATACTCTTAC